CGGATCTGGGTGGAGGTCTCTCCTGAGGGAGAGACCTTCCTCAAGGGACATAGTTTCCTACTAGAAACGCTGTGGTACGGTCGCTGCGGTACGCCTCAGGCCGGCCCCCAGACACAGTGCCCGAACCAAAAGGTCCTAGTACCGGTCCGGTGAGGGAAACTGCTGATGCTGAACTCCACGTCTCCAACACCAACACTAATGCAAACCCCACCACCCCCACCACCAATACTATTCCAATCTATACCACTCCCACAAACAACAATAACATACAACGACATAAGACACGCAGAGGTGGAAGGGGCAAGAAGACCACCTCAAAAACTACAGCCAAAACAGGTAAAACTCATTTTGAACATTACTCTGTTACCCAAATCAACCTCAAACGCAAGTACAACGCCTGGAAAACCCTGCTAGTAAACACTCACGGCAGGAAAAATCCTATTATACTTGCTACTGAACCATACACAAACAACAAGAACCATATCCCAACTATAAGCAAGGACCTAACTGAGTATTATTATAAGGCCGGGGACATTAGGCCACGTGCCGCCGTAGTAATACACAAAAACCTAGCCCTCAAAAGCTGGGAACTACTGCAATTTACAACCCCGGATCAGGTTGCCATTAAGATCCAACTAAGCTAAACAGAAGTAATTCTGGCAGCTTCGTACATGGATATTAATGGCCCTGCTCCATCCCACGAGACAACACCTCTAGCCAAGTATGCTATTGATAACAACATACCGCTTATCATAGGGTCTGACACCAACTCCCAACACACTCTCTGGGTAATAGGATGTGCAATAGTAGGGGGGAGGATCTCCTAGATTTCCTCTCGTCACTAGGGCTCGCCTGTTCCAACAGAGGGTCAACACCCACATTTCTCAACTCACGCGGTCATAACTCCATTATTGATCTCACCATAACTAACCAAAAGGGTGCGGAGCTGATCAGCAACTGGCACGTTAGCGATCTATACTCTAACTCAGACCACAGATATATTATGTTTGATATAACATCCGGCCCCAAAAAAGAACCACGTCAAATACGACTAGTCAAGCACACTGACTGGGCGAAATTTGACGAGATTTTACAGAACAACAACGACCTCCACAGTAACGGCATTATCACACCCCAAGAAATCGACCTAAAGGTCAACACCTTAAACTCTGCTCTCAGGGCAGCCTTCGAGGAGGCATGTCCTATTACTTACATATCGAGTGCGGTCCGCAAACCACCCTGGCTAACTCGAGAAAGCTCAGAGGGGAATAAGACGCAAACTCGTTACAGCCCGCAGAAAGAAAACTGACGATTCGTGGCTTGCTCTCAGAGAAAGCAACAAGCAATACAACAAGATCCTGTCCAACTCCCAGCGCAATGCGTGGCGGAACTTTTGCAGAGACACAGAATCGGTCAAAGAATCTGGAAGGATGAACAAGATTCTGAAAACCTGTACTGACACCAACAACAAACTAGAAGCCATTTATAAAACCAACGGAGAACTCACCAAAAACGCAGAGGAGACACTGGAGGTCATGACTCAAACCCACTTCAGGGAGAGTGTTACTGATCCGCCAGTCCCGCACCTCGGCCCAATACCCATCACCTCAGACTTACTAGACAAAATCTACAGCCCTGAAAGAATCGAGAAGGCCCTCATGTCTTTCGATCCTTTGAAGGCTGCAGGACCGGACACCCTGAAACCGATCATTTTCCAGAAAGCCTGGAACCATATCAAAGTTATAACACAAAACATCATGACAAATAATCACAAAACACAACACATCCCTACTTTGTGGAGGGATTCCATCGGAATCTTTCTCCCCAAACCCGGCAAAACCGACTACAACAAGGCTAAGTCTTTTCGCACAATCACTCTTTCACCTGTGATGCTAAAATTACAGGAGAAAGTGATTCTTTGGCACATGCAACACGACCTCAACATAGCAAATGACATAAACAAACGACAATTCGGCTTTAGGAAGGGCTGCTCAACAGAAGCGGCACTTCATAAAGTTACCCACACCATTAAGCGCAGAATAGCTAAGAAGGGATACGTCCTAGGAGTCTTTCTTGACATAGAGGGCGCCTTCGACAACGTCTCGTTCAAAGCTATTTCTGAAGCAGTGAGGGCCACGAAAGTGGACCTAGCTACAGCGCAATGGATCATCAACATGGTCACTAATCGCTTTATCACTCTTAGTCATAAGGATAAGTTGAGAAGGGTACAGATCAGGAGAGGCTGCCCCCAAGGAGGCATCCTCTCTCCTTTTCTATGGAACCTGGTAGTCGATGATCTCCTCTCCTTTACTGCGAAGGACATACCGGGTTACCTGCAAGCCTTCGCAGATGACCTGGTTTCACTAGCAGAAGGAAATGACCTGGACATCATCTGGAACCGCACATGCAAAACCATCAATACGATAGAAACATGGTGCCAAACCAAGGATCTATCTATCAGCGCACTCAAGACTTAGATAGTCATGTTTACCTGGAATACTAAGTGGACTTTGAGACCAATAAAAATTGGCAACAATATTATAGGTCTCTCGAAGTCGGCTAAATTCCTAGGAGTGACATTGGACAGCAAACTCAATTTCAACGAACACATCATCAACATCACCAAAAAAGCCACGGCATCCCTCATGCAATGTCGAAGAGCTGTCGGCCCCACATGGGGTATGAGCCCTAAAACTTGTTAATGGATGTTCACAGCGGTCATTCGACCCATTCTGTCCTACTGCTGTAGTATATGGATCAGGGCAACTGACACGGACTACAATGTGAGGAAGCTCAAACGTGTGCAGGCATTGGCACTGAGAATGATGTCTGGTGCCATGCCAAGTACACCCTTCCTCGCATTGAATCACCTTACTGACACCCCAGACACCATACTATTCCTGAGGGGCGAAGCAGCGAAAGGGGCAGCAAGGCTTCAAGCCTACGGCAGCCTCACTCTTGAAACTATCGCCCACAGGAAGGGAACTATCAAAAACCACACCACGATCAACAAACAATTCATGGAGGATCTCAACATACCACCTAGAGCCACAAGAGACCTCACAGCACCAACCATGATGCTGGGACGGCACTTCACCGTCACCACTCCTGGAATTAACAACACTGAATACAGAACCGCACTCCAACACACCATCGACAACATTACCAGAGAAACGATCACCTGCTACACAGATGGGTCTCTATCAGACTCCGGAAGTGGGGCTGGGTACATCATCACGACTGACAACAACAACACCACCCTGGAAGAGAGATCATTCAAGCTCCCTGATTATTGCACTGTCTACCGGACAGAGCTCACTGCAATCATTGAAGCCTGCAAGTATCTCTCATCCTACACCAACTCACACATCATTATATGGTCTGATAGTCTCTCCTCCATACAAGCTATTTCCTCCCTCTCAACGAGGAGCAGAACTACCAGAGACTGTTATGACACCCTTAATGCACTGGGATCGAACAACACTCTAGAGATCCGATGGATTGCAGCCCACATTGGGTTGTGGGGAAATGAAAAAGCGGATGAGCTGGCCAAGCTCGGCACGACCAGCGAACTCGTTTTGAAATGCACAATCCCTCAATCTTACATCAAACGACAAATCGACAACAAAGTCCACAGACTGAATCAGGATATCTGGTTAACAGATGGTCCTAGACACACCAAACTAACACTTGGCCAAAAGCACACCAAAATAATCAATAATATAAACACGTCACTCATCAACAATAGACAAGACTATAGAACCGCAGTCCACCTAGCCTAATCACGGGCCACTGCGGCTTAAACAAACACCTCCACACCATCCGCAAATCAAGCACCAGTGCTTGTCCCATGTGCGGAGACGGAGAGGAGACTGTCTCACACTTTCTTGGACAGTGCCCAGCTATTGCCCAACTAAGAGGTCAATACTTTCGGGACTACTACCTCTCGGTCAACGACATATTCGACAACCACCACATTACCACAATCGTCAACTTCACAAACCGCACCAAACGCTTAATAGTACCAGAAGAACTGGATCAGACTGGCGTAACCTAGCGCATTAACACATTACATATGCAGCCTTACCTAACTGATTTCTAATCTCATCTGGTACCAAAGAGCGGTATTCCCACTCAGATCATTACCACCACCCTCCTCCACAATTCACACTCCTCCACAATTCAAACTCCCCCTCATCCCAGAGGTAGGCAAAGCATCTTAATGCTATGCTCTAGTGGGCTTTCTATGCCCAGCCTCTCTTTAAAAAAAATTAAAAAAAAAGCCTAAGTGCCAGATGCTTTTTATAGACAGTTGGAGCCATAAATATTTCTCTGTCCATATCTCCACCAATATCTCTGTCGTCGATTTTCAGTTCTTTTCCCAGCGCAATGAACCACTAAGTAGCACTGTCCTTCAATTTTGTCTGTTCATCATACTCGAATCCTTGAATTTGGTCCAGAGATTGGGTCACCTTACAATCATCCTCCATAGTGTACTTGTATAGGAATGTACAAGTACACACGCAAAGGCTAACTACGCGGTAGCCTCAAACTGAACTTATCGCAATTTACAAAAGATAAGGGAGCTCGATAATTGCAACGTAAGCTACACTGACTACACACAAAATGAGAGAGTAGGCCCTACCATCTCGAAGTGATAATAATGATTAAATTTTTCGCAGATTGGCAATTGATCGGTGTAGTTGGTGTTGTACACACTGCACTGATAATGATATCACGTTGAACGTGTAATGTAAATATAGTGTAGATATATGCGAATATATATTCTAATAACTGATATTGCACAATCGTTTAGGCAATATTAAAAAACCAAATTTGGGATCCATCAAAGTTGGAGAATTGGCTTGTGGTACCGAGAATTTACCATTTTTAAAAGTACCATTTTTGACCACCTTTGAGTTTGCCAACTTCCTATAAATCTCCTGCTTTTTATAACCATCTGGTCAGGGTGTTAAAATCATCAGCAGACCTTTTCTAACCTAATGCGTCTTCGTGATCATCACTTTCTTTTTCGGATTCATCACGCGTATCTATAAATGATTATTGAAGTTACCATTACGGAGACGTAAGGCCAGAATTGAAGGAGGTGTATAAATTCAATAAAGCAATTTTTAAGGTTTCTGTGATAAAATAGCAACGGTAACAAAATGTAACTAACCTGTACAGATTCTGCATGTTTTCTGGCATTTTTTTATCGAATACGTACTTCGGCAATTTCCGCTTCCGACACAATATCTGGTGTCCGCAATATCTTCACAATTTGCATCATAAACTGGATCTGTATGATTTGCGGTCAAAATAAAAAACATTTAAAAAATCTAAAAAATGAGGATTGTTGATAGTTTTAAATGCCTTCTAGCGTTCATACTAATGTCCATTCAATGTAGAATGTAATTCATATCACAATAATATGGCTGCCATCAACATTTGTATTTTAAGTTCCGTAAATTAATTCTTTTGTTCATAAACAATTCGAAAATATATACTAATGTCCGTTCATAATTATGTCCGTTAATTTAATGTCTGTCCAAATAAGGTCCGATAAGGTAGATAGAAATTATATCTACCTTATCGGACCTTATTTGTCCGATCACAAAAATGCGTTCCTATCACAAAAATATGGCTGCCATCATTGATCATGATCAAGATATGTATTTTAAGTTCCGTTAATTAATTGTTCATGAATAATTCGAAGATATCTGCTTTTATAAAATTGAAATGAAAAAGACAGGAATATCCCATGGCCATTTATACACATTACTGTAAAATACTATTTCATCTTTGATAGCTTTTTTCTCGGAAAAAATTATTTTCTTATCGGACCTTATTTGGACAGACATTAAATTAACGGACATAATTATGAACGGACATTAGTATTAGGAAGCACCTGAAGACAGGAATCTTTAAGATGAATATTTTACATCTATAAAAAATCGGAACTGGTAAGTTTTATAATAAAATTACCTGGGCAAGGCCAGTCTTCGTTACATGTTTGAGTTTCGGAATCGTCCCCTTCACACTCTTTACCACCATGCCTGGGAGCGGGGTTGTTACATTGTCTGGTTCTGGTTTGGGTTCCTCCGTCACACTCAGCAGAGCACTTAGACCAATCTCCAAAAGCACTGTATCCTCCATCAACAGCTGAAATAGTTCCGTTTTAGATTAGTTCCGTTTTATGCATATTAATATCCGTCCAAATAAGGTCCGATAAGGTATAAAATCAATTTCGGTGGAATTTTATAAAGACCCCCCAGCCCCCTGCCCCCATAAATAGAAATCGCAACACAGCCCTCAGGAACCTTCGATACACCTGTCCAGAGCTGTTCACTTACATCCTAAATACATACAGACAAGAAGCTGACCTATTCATCGCCAACAGTATTGATCCCAATTCCCATTCTGTCTCAAGAAGGAACAACACAGGGAGATACCAGTGCACCTGGATGATATGCACTTAGCCTGATGCCTCTACTCAGTGAAGTCCAGATTAAACAGACAGAACTTGATTCAGAACTAGAACCAGACACGGAACCTAGAACTTATCCCAAACAAGTTTGGTATGCAGACAACTCTGCAGCATGGGGTAAACTTGATCAACTCATGAAATGGTGGGAGGATCTGAAAGATCATTGTCCCATGTATGGGTATTACCCAAAGCCCAGCAAGACATGTTTGATAGTGAAACCAGAGCATGCTATCAAAGCTAAGGAATCTTTCCAGATGTACAGATTACTTAGGCCACCGTTATAGCTGCAAACGAACCCCAGCCAGCTTACTCCGCTTTCATCTACGGAACCTCCAAAAGGTGGAACTTTGTTTGACGTACCACCCCATGGATTTCTGATCACCTAACACTCTTGGAATATTGTGTCAAAGAAGACTTTATACCAGCCATTATGGGCAAAAGTTTTGTGCCTGATCAGATCAGAAAGATAGCTTCACTTCCCGCAAGAATGGGCGGTCTGAGCATTCCAGACTGCACATCAACAGCAGAGATGGAGTACTCCAACTCAGTAAATGCTACGAAACAGCTCACGGAAGCAGTTTTTCAACAGTATACTACATTCCAACTAAACGAGGAACTGCAGCATAACATCATAAACGAAGTAAAGAAGCATAAGGAAGAAACACCAACGTGAAACTATTATGAATGAGGTATCATCATCCACAGTCCACACAAAGGCAAATAGAACTCCTTAGTGAAAAAGGAGCATCCAGTTGGTTATCCACACTCCCTCTAAAAGCATGTCAAGGTATGTCCTCAACAAACAAGAATTCTTTGATTTCCTCTCACTCAGATATAATCTTACACTGCCTACAAGTCTACAGCTAACAGAAACGTACCCTATGTGTATGTGAAAAACAAAACCATATCAACCATACTCTAACTTGCAAAATCGGAGGCTAAGTTTCACTTAGACACAATTCACTCAGAGATACAATAGCTGAACTCCTAACCACTGTTTGCAAAGACGTTGAAACAGAATATAGAACCTCAGCTTCTCTCCAAATAGACAGGATGGTGCAAGACTGGATATCAGTGCGAGATCGTTCTGGTCGCCACTGGACAGGGCATTCACAGATGTAAGGGTACTTCACCCTCAAGCCCAGTCAAACAGTGACAAGAGCATCTCGCAGATGTACCAATCTCACGAGAAAAACAAAAAAGTGAGTACAATGACAGAAAAGGCTACCTTCAATGTAGAAAAGGCTACCTTCGCGCCACTGGTGTTCAGTACTACCGGAGAAATGGCGTCTGAGGCTTCACAGTTCCTAAAACATCTCGCCGAAAAGATCAGCCTTAAGGGGGGGGGGGGGGGGGGGGTTCACCCTGATTTTTTTGTGAAACTTGGTTTCGAGATAGCAGTTGACCAACAAACTAGGACCAGTGACCGAACTTTTGAGGGGGTCCCGGACCCCAATATTCGGTCCAAATTAGGCCCAATTTAGCAAAATACCCTGAACATGCCCAAAATCCAGCAAAAAAATTTGGCGGCCAAATTCCAAAAATTTGCACTGCTAAATTTAGAATTTGGCCGCCAAATTTTTTAAAAGGCCTAACTCAAAATTCTGTCCTAAAACTTAAGGTTATGAGACAATTTTACGTTGATTCTGAAAATTTCATGAAAAAATATTGAAACCCTATTGAGTTCTATTGTTTTGAGCGAAGTCAGTTTTGCAAATATCGCGAACTGAGATATGGGCAATTTTGTTCATTTTTTGCGATTATTTGAACATCGAATCCACAATTAGGTAGATACTGAGCTGATAATCATCGATAATGTGTAGTATAGGCTTACCTTCCATATAAAGTTGGTTTCATTCAAAAATATTGATATTTGACCAATTTATGGGCCAAAATCGATCAAATTTGGTGCGTATGCCCAAATATGGTCATATGGTTTTTTGCTCATAACTCAGTCATTTTTTTCCAATCTTGATGAAAATTCATATACAAGTTCAAGGAACCACTAGCTACAAGTAAAGCATCTTAAATCTGGATATTGGGCATGTTCAGGGTATTTGGCTAAATTGGGCCTAATTTGGACCAAATATGGGCGTGGCTGCCCCGCAGGCACCGTTTGGCGGTTGGGGTCTGGGACCCCCTCAAAAGTTCGGTCACTGGTCCTAGTTTGTTGGTCAACTGCTATCTCGAAACCAAGTTTCACAAAAAATCAGGGTGAACCCCCCCCCCCCCCCCCCCCCCCCCCCCCTTAAGAGAGGCCAACAGTATTCTGATGTGATGTCATTTGTCAGACTGCGTTTTGATCTACTCTGAACCTGTATAATCTCTATCAGGGGGTACATAGGTACTAGAACTCTTCCACCCACAGCGATAATTGATTTGGACCTTAACCTGATCAACACTCCTAAACCCTAAAAGGTCATGGAGTGCCTTTTGGATGAGGGTCTAAACTGCTTTTTGTTGTAATACAAATTTGAGGATTTTATAAATTATTACAATTTTACATTTTTATAGAATTTGTATATAGGGACATTGCTATATTATGTGTATATTGTTTGAATTATAAAACTTTATTTCAACTCTTTGACACTAATTACTCTGTAAGTTTAGATCCCTGTATTTTGAACGAGAAGTCGTTTCCCAGAGCAGCTCAATGAGCAGCTCATGAGAGCCGAGACACAACTCGCATATTCTCCTACTGCCTTAAAACTTATTCGATTGGATGGCTACATAAGTGACTGTGTTAAACTTGTTTGACACTAAATAGTAAATGTATTATTGTCTATTTTAAGTAACAACACATTTTAAGTAACAACACATTTTATAACTACACTGTCTTTATAATGACAGTAGGAAACAGGAGGGTAAATAAAAGGTAATAGAAACCTGTACATGGTCCAGTTCCACATGTCTTTTCACAAAGATGTTGCGTATTGGGATAGGCATCCTCTTTGTTAACACACAATCCATTCAATTTATACCTTTGGCAAAATGTCAAGGTATGTTGGCTATCGTCTGAACATTCCCCGGTTTCGTTATCTGAAAGATGGTAGTTTAAGCCTCGATGAAGCAGTTTTTCCATTGTTTTTTCACTGCAGATTAAAGTGAATCATTTTGTTCGAGTGAGGGTTATTTTAGTGCCTATGTGCCTATTTTAGGAAATCACGCACTAAAATTAATGTTTTTTCAAATCAAAACAGATCACTAAGTTAGTGGTGGGCAAGAATGATAACAGATTACTAAGTAACTAAGTGGCTCTAAAAACCCTTGGACGCTTCGAGCCTTCGACCTCATTATTATGCAACTTCCTATTGAACATAGTCAGTCATACAACACGAAGAAAAATTATCACAATATAGAACTTGTCGACATTTTACCCTGACAGATATTGCAAGTCTTCCGACAAAACGTTTCCTCCTCCTCCATCAAGTCACAGAAACCAAGGAATTTCCACATATCACAGTAGTTGTGCTCCGAGCCAAACTTAGAATCTTGACAGCGTTTATCTGGTACATCGTTTTTTGCTGGTGGTACATACCAGTCCTGCCCTGATGTTGTTAGGAAACTTAATTTTGAGACCAAAAAAACTAAGGCCCTGACCGAACTTTAGGGTCCCGGGCGGTGGCGTCCAAATCCGACTCAATTATGCGAATCACCTAAACCAAGCTTTGGGGTGCTCTCAGTTCGTGATATTCACGAAAGTGATTTTGTCCAAAAAACAGAATAGAAATTAACCACTGATTAATATTTTTGCATGAAATTTTCAGTGTCAATGTAGAATAGCGATAATTTAAAATGATGAATTTTAAATTAGTCATTTTTAAATTTGGCGGCCGATTTTTTTTAACTGCAGTTTGGTCATATAGTTTTTGGCTCATTTTATTTATGTACGAATTTCAGGAGACTACTAGCTACAAGTAGAGTACCCTAAAGGTTTTGAGCATGTTTTGGTGAATTAGCACAATTGAGCAAAAATTAGCTACAAAATTACCAAATTTTTGAATTAACAACTATGATTAAAACTCAAATCAACAACTCTGATTAAGTATATTCCAAAAATTGCAATGTAGCGATTTTTCATTTTTAGAAACAGATATTTTAATATAAAAGTCCATAATTTTGACATTTCCATTAATGTCTAAGCGTGCAATAAATGCTAATTTATATAATTATTATTTATTCTATACCTGCTGTAGTGTAAAGCTGAACGAGGACCAGAAGCAAACTTGCTATTGCAATAGACATTGTGCTTCCTGACGTGTAATGAATTTTAGAATAAAAGTAACATTTGTTTCCTAATCCCTGATAGTTTACTAGAATTTTGGGTATTGGGCTACCCTGATTACTCTGCTATAGCTGTTCCCCTGGCTCGTGTAGGTCTATTTTATCAACATATAATATAAACCAGACCATACCGGGCACCTCGATAAACCGGGCCTCTTCTATTCAACTTTAAGTTTAGACCAGTCCAGAACCGGGAGCCCTCTTCTCCGTTTTGCTTATCCGTAGACTAAGCTTAACCCTTGCTACGACTATTCTGTGATCCGAGCCAATACTGTGGAAACTACCATATGCTTCGGAGTTCTTGACGGAGTTCCGCCATTTCTTTCGGCAAATGATGAAGTCGATTTGAGATCTACTTTGACTCATATCTGAGAGATATGTCCAGACTCTGGACTCCAGAGTTTCCCTCTTCGCTTCTGAAACCACGTGTGGTTTAGAAAGGCTCAAATGATCCCACACTTCACTACTTCTACACTTTATCACTTCCACACTTGCATCCTACCGTCCTAGTCCTATCACAAACACAAAATTTCAGAAGCAAAGAGGGAAACTCTGGACAAACGCGTCTGTCTATACTGTGCACTTTTAGTTTCCCTCGAGAGGCCCGGTATATAGAGGTGTATCTGTATGGCAGCCAGGTATTGTTATAAAATAAGGAATATTTATTTGTTATACTTATTATATGACTATATTTTTCCGTGATTTTGAATGCGATGTCTGCAAATATTGAAGTGTTTACGAATATCGAAAGAGATAATCATAACTACATGAAACCAATAACAACTAAAAGTGTATAAATCTTTAAAACCATATAACTACATATTATACATTAATTACATGTATTAAAAAACCTTATTAAGTCACATGGAAGTGCTTATCAAATATGAAATGAAATATTAGATTTTTAACGTTTATTATTCATTAATCACTAAAGATATAGATAGGTGACGAATGGTATAAGGCGGCCGCGGGTCGTGATTTCAACCGAGGTTCCTTATAGTGTGTATTGAAATGATGTAATATGAGATGAAGTACTAGTCACTTGGAACTATAATCTGAGGATTTTCTGATACAATCCATGCTAGCAGAAACCACGTCCCCGTTTCTAGCAAGCCGACTAGTTTTCTCCAGCTCTCCATGCTCCAGGCCTCGCAAGATACACATCCAGTTTCGCTGGACTATTGTGAAAGCTACACAGCCCCCTCTGTTCTCGCACATTCGCTGTAAGATTTAGACGATGAAGCTATCTAATTCAACATTTTATTATCACAGATTCTCACCGTGGTGTCCAATTTATAATCCTTGAAACAATTGGCGCACTCAAGTTTTATTTGTATATGATCTTACCTGGCACATAGCAAGAGTACGGACCCTGAGTTGAACCTTGAGAGTACCCCCAGGATACACTCCCCCGTAGTTATAACACGATTGAGTTTCCCAGGTGTCGACATCTTCTACCTCGTCACGTCGTCTGTCCTCTTCAAACTTCTTATCTTTACTCTCACATACCGGGTAATCTGGTTAAAAGTATTGTAGTTACCTTACGAGACATATTTAAATGGTGCGAAAGTCGGTGGTTTTTCGGGGAAAAAACCATATTTTCGGACTACCAAAATTTATTTTCACGTATAGTATCATTATTTCCCCCGAATTATTTTTCACGTATTTTCCTTAATTATGATTTTATCGATTTACTATCAAATCATCAATATAGTAAGTTATAAATATTATTCATCAAACCAATAATGAACGATTATTCGATCATGAATAGCTTTAAAAATGATTTTAGACACGTTCCATTAAAAATAAGCAAGTTCTGTCACTACTTTAATGGTCACGGCGGTGAAATTTCGGGATTAGTGGAAGATAACAAACACTGTCGGTCTCCTATACCTTCTGGAGGATTATAAGTTAAGTTGAGGCTGACTTTCAAAGGCTCCGGAGAAATTGTTTACAAGATGAAACAGCTGATCAGAGAAGATTTTTGTGTTTAATTTTCTCAAATATTGGGTTTCATTTTTGTAAAATAAGGAGATGAAAAAAATCCCAAATACCATGATTTAATTTGGGGTACAAAATGTGGTGGTTTTCGGTAAAAATTCCCATATTTTCGTTCCCAAATCATTTATGTCACCGGAATTATGTCGAACATAAATATGTCTCCTTTGAGTCCTTCTCATTGGTTATGGTTGACTGAATCTAATTCCTGATTGTGCCTTAATTTACTTATTAAATTCAATTACCTTTTTTGATAAATGTTCAGACATACAATAGATAACCAGATAAAGAGCAAAGAACTATTCCTTGGTCTAAAATAGCGATCCGTGGTGTGAGTCTCACCACCACGCTACCCTGGGCTGGGATGATTGTTTCACTAACCCGAGAATGAAATGGAATCGTGAGCAGAACAATCGACAAGCTTAGGGTTTGTAGGAGGTGTCTTGCAATACATGATCACGGAGTCCCCGACATCAAGGTTAGTTTTCTTATCAGGATAGAATCCTAAAACATCCGGCAATCTACTCAGATCGCATCCTTTAGACCGGCCTGGAAACAATACCAAATAAATGTTATACAAGCATTGTGAATACATTCTAACAAGTGAAAGTAGTTCAAAAGTACAAGTTCGAGTATTATTTTGAATTAATTATTTACGCTTGAGTTACATCACTCATTTAAGGCCAGAGGGAGGGGTAAACATGTATTTTTCAGTTGTCACTTATGTGACAGAGCTGCAGTAATTACTAGTAGTAGTAAAACTTAAACAAGTTAAATTATAATTTTAATTTAAGTTTTACTAGTAATAATAGGTAAACCTTAAACTTTGACGCAAGGTCCAATTTTGATGCGGTCATATCATGCATGTGAAAACCAAAAATACATATTTACCCTTCCCCCCTCTAACCTCAATTGAGAAGTATCGAGAAAAGTGTTTCTCACCTATTGAGGACTGTATAATAAAACTATCAGGGACAGGAGGTTGTTCGCTTACCCCTGACGGAACTTTCTCTTTTTGAGACTCTGAAAATTTAGAAGTTGGTCCCCTTTATACAACTTCAAAGGTTGTTAAGAATTCTCAATGATATAATTTCTTGATCTAGACAATAAACATATACAATGATTAGCAATGTTCAAGTAAAACTTACTGTAAATAATCTTATCAACTTTTCCAACTGCGTCTAAAATACAATCCATAGACGCGGAAACGACATCCTTTGCCTCATGGTTAGTAACAGGTTCAGGGTTTAGCCAAGCGTTCTTCAGCATGCATGAACCGGTGTCCTTATAGAGAGAGAACGCAACACAGCCAGCTCTAGTGGCGCACTTAGTGTAGCACTCTGATGTTTCTGTAACTTCCTCATATCTTGCTGTAGGAGACCCGACAAATGATACACCTTCGCGGAGGCATTCCTTCACTCCTGTATTGTAGAATCGTTTAACCATTAAATTTGAATTTTGAAAAAAAAATAATGATGACATAGATTTGGTAGAGAGAAGAACTCAAGTATCAACAAAATATCCAGAAACATGGATAAGCTAGAACGTCAAGGCCAGACAATGCAATGTAGATTTCTGTCATAGTAATTCATGAGAGAAATGATTGGATAGGTACTGGTAATTTCTAGATTGAAAATTGAACTTAACATTTGTTATTATATAATTAAGGGGGCCGGGGGGGGGGTCTTCATCAAAATTCTCTCGAAATTGACTTTGTGGGGGGGGGGAGTGATATCTATCAGCTGTTTTTGGTCCCATGGAAAAATATTGTTCCTAACCGAAATTATTGCCGGTCAAAGTTCAGCTAAATGAGTAATTGGTGACCTTTGACCGGCAATATGGTCCTTAGAACATATCCTAAAAGTTTCAGGGTGATTACTCAAAAATGTAGGAGAAGATAGATTTTTAGACTCGATTTTCAGGGCGCGCGATTGGGAATCGCTCGCGCAATACAATTACACATAAGCGCTGACCTTTGATTGGCAATAATTTCGGCTAGGAACAATATTATTCCATGGGAACAAAAACAGCTGATAGATATCACTCCCCTCCATCAGAAACAACTACAAAGTCAATTTCGAGAGAATTTTGATGAAGACCCCCCCCCCCCCCCCCCCCCTCGCAATTTCCCTGCAATTGCATACCTGGCACTTCCAAGTGGAGCCGTAAACCTCTCAAAGGACTGGAAGTGTCGCCTGAAAATGTTTTAATGTAAGAATGTAGACAATTACTAACAAAACTTCAACAGGAACAATGAAAACTTCTAACGTCCAAATTTATTGAAAAGTTCATAGTACTAGGCAACATGAACAGCAAAATAAAGTAAGATCTAACTACATGTATTTGATTTTGTTCAATCTGACTTACCAACTACTGAACTCAAGGAGTATTCATCAAGACCATTGTCTGAAAGATTTTTAGTAACGCGAATTGAATGTGAAAGACTGAATCAAACAAAATTGGAGCGTGTTATGGATAATAGGAACACCCTATATACTAATATACTATATATACATTATACATGCCTAATAATATACCTAATAATATAACCCTCAATAATTATACAGGTTAGGGGTAAATTTGCAACAATTTGCAACATTTATTCAAATACCTTGATCACAGACGCCACAACTTTCAGGGCACATTTTAGCCACCTCTAGGAACTTTTTGCAGAAGTAGCCAGAGAAAAATGCACAGTCAACAGACTGGTCATTACATCTTCCTAAAATGAGAATTAACTATGAGCTTGAGGGATCCAAGAAACTGTTAAATTTTGCATAACGTGCTTGCGTAATTTATGTGATTGACTCTTCGGAAAACAGCGAATGGCGACCCTTGGCCTTCGTGACCGATTAGCAATAATGGTACACTGTTCCTTCTAGCAATGGTACCTAAATATAATAAAAGAGCTATATAGACACATTTTTAATTCCACAAACCTTCTTTTCGCTCGTTATCCTTCCTTTTTGCTTGACATACTCTGCAGGTTTTCGGACATATTTCCTGGATTCCTTTTTCGTAGCATTCACTTTTAACGTGTTTACAAAACTTAGTATCTGCATCCTTACAACCTGGAGCTTGGTTCAGGCTCGAGGAGGCTGTACGAATGTATTGAGACCTCGGCACAACTTTGGCCTCTTCGCCTGAGATGGAGAAGTTTCAGGCTACTTTTTTAAAGTGTTTATAAATTTTATGTAAATTAACAGATAATCCTGCATGCTCATTTGGACATTTGTTTGACAAAGTTTGTACATAATAATCAAATCTGCGGACGGTTATCTTTATGACTTCGAAAAGCAAAGAAAAAAGTAAAAACAGCAACGTTACTTGCAACTGGAATAAATGTTTATAAAAATACTGAAATAATTGTCAATAACTAACCTTCATTGAGGGTTACTCCTTCACAAGAACCGCACGTCCTCTTACAGAATATTTCTTTAAGTTCTATATTCGTTTCACAATATCCTTCTGATTTCCATTTACCACACCTATCAGCACCTTCCTTATCATCACAAGACTCAGTATCCTTCTCTGATTTGTTATCATCTTTCTTTTCATCATTATCAATACTTTCCTCTTTCTTTTCATCATTATCAATACTTTCCTCTTTCTTTTCATCGTTATCAACACTTTCCTCTTTCTTTTCATCATTATCAATACGTTCTTCTTTCTTTTCATCATTATCAATCATTTCTTCGTTCTTTTCATCATTATCAATACTTTCTTCTTTCTTTTCATCATTATTAATACTTTCTCCTTTCTTTTCATCAGTATCAATATTTTCCACTTTTTTTCCATCATTATCTGGCATAAGACTTTTGTCATTATCTGGCTTAGGAAATTCATTACTCTTTTACAGTATATAAGTATATATAAAGTATATAAGTATATAAGTATATAAGTATATAAGTATATAAGTATATAAGTATATAAGTATATAAGTATATAAGTATATAAGTATATAAGTATATAAGTATATAAGTATATAAGTATATAAGTATATAAGTATATAAGTATATAAGTATATAAGTATATAAGTATATAAGTATATAAGTATATAAGTATATAAGTATATAAGTATATAAGTATATAAGTATATAAGTATATAAGTATATAAGTATATAAGTATATAAGTATATAAGTATATAAGTATATAAGTATATAAGTATATAAGTATATAAGTATATAAGTATATAAGTATATAAGTATATAAGTATATAAGTATATAAGTATATAAGTATATAATATAAGTGTATAATAAGTATGTGGATAAATATGCTTGCCTAGTTTACTAAGCTTGAGCACTCTATAGGGAATGAATAGATCACCGCTTAGCTTAAATGCAAAGCTCCTAACTCGTAATGAGTTTGAAGAGCACTGTGGTACCTATGTAATTCCTTCATCATTAAGGGCTTGGTGGCTCAGTGGCGCGGTCCCGGACCAGTAATCTGGTCCCGCCATCAGCAAAACCATCCCTGATGATTTGATCCACACTGATGAGTCCTAATAGGACGAAACACTGTGTCTATGGATAAGTATATAAGGGGGGGGGGGGGGGGCTATATAAGTATTCAAGAACACTGTAATGGAACCAAACTAACAATAACTAACCTCCACATGCACCGCATGTCTTTTTACATAATATTTCTTTAACTTGTTTCTGCGATTCACAATATCCCTGCGATTTCCATTCACCACATTCTTTACTGACATCTGCTCTATCTTTACAAGTCTCAGTGGCTTTCTTCGACTTGTTATTATCTTTCTTTTCTTTATTTTCATCTTTATCTGGCATAGGACTTCCGTCTGAAACAATCCAAAATGTTGATTATATGTATAATAAGAAAAGTAATGGGTCCAACTCCAGTAAATAAAACGATTGATAAATTCCTCAAAATGTTAACTTAATCACACAGACCAATCAATTGCTTTAACTCCATACCACCCTACTGTTCTGAAAACGCTATCTACCAAAGTTGCTCCTGAGTAAAATGCATATACATGTATCTATGTTCGTAGACATATTATTCTTTCTGTAAAATATGGACAATCGCCAACTTATAGTTTTCCGACCTTACGTTACCGCCTACCGGTTTGATCAAAATAATGAGATTATCCACCAAATGAGAGCTTCTAGAAGATTATTTTTCCGTGACAGATTCGTGCAGCTAGTTTTAGAAAGAGTATTATAAGAGTACTTAAACAAACTAACCGGACTGACCTTTGCATGTACCACATGTATTTTTACAAAATGTTTCTCTAATTTTTGTATGAGAACAAAATCCTCTTGATTTCCAGATACCACATCTGCTTTTATATGTAGTTAAATCTTCACATTTATCAGTATCTCCGTTGTTATTATTGTTCCCTCCTTTTCCGTCACTTTCTTTCTTGTTGTTGTCTGGTTCAGTTCTACTTGAACCTTATAGAGAGAGATTAAGTTCAAAGTTCATTTAATAATCAGATCAATTAACTTTAGGGAAATAAAAAATAAACTAAATGGTGACAATTTTATTTTAAGAGAAAAGTGAGAGGTGAAAAATTGGGATTCCAAAATTGGCTGCTTAGAATTCTACTTTTCTCAGTATCTTTCTTCGACTTGTTATCATCTTTCTTTTCCTCATTATCGATATTTTCGTCTTTCTTTTCGTCATTATCTGGCATAAGACTTCCGTCTGAAATAATCCAAAACGTTGAGACAAGAAGAGTTGTATGTGTAGAAAACAGATAGTTGCCTGATCTCTTTTGAATGCCTCAAAAGTTATCCGACATATTATCCGTGCTCGTAGGTCATATTCACAAATATCTAAATATGGTTTAAGACAAACTTTCAAGTTTCAGATAATTAGAAATTCCTCCTTCGCAAAGTTATTTTCCACAATTTTCTGGATTCTAACTAACCAAACTAACCTTTGCATGTACCACACGTATTTTTACAAAAACTTTCTCTAATTTTTGTACGAGAACAAAATCCTCTTGATTTCCAGATACCACATCTGCTTTTATATGTAGTTAAATCTTCACATTTATCAGTATCTCCGTTGTTATTATTGTTCCCTCCTTTTCCGTCACTTTCTTTCTTGTTGTTGTCTGGTTCAGTTCTACTTGAATCTTATAGAGAGAGATTAAGTTCAAAGTTCATATAATAATCAGATCAATTAACTTTAGGGAAATAAAAAATAAACTAAATGGTGACAGTTTTATTTTAAGAGAAAAGTGAGAGGTGAAAAATTGGGATTCCAAAATTGGCTGCTTAGAATCTTACTTTTCTCAGTATCTTTCTTCGGCTTGTTATCATCTTTCTTTTCCTCATTATCGATACTTTCGTCTTTCTTTTCGTCATTATCTGGCATAAGACTTCCGTCTGAAATAATCCAAAACGTTGAGACAAGAAGAGTTGTATGTGTAGAAAACAGATAGTTGCCTGATCTCTTTTGAATGCCTCAAAAGTTATCCGACATATTATCCGTGCTCGTAGGTCATATTCACAAATATCTAAATATGGTTTAAGACAAACTTTCAAGTTTCAGATAATTAGAAATTCCTCCTTCGCAAAGTTATTTTCCACAATTTTCTGGATTCTAACTAACCAAACTAACCTTTGCATGTACCACACGTATTTTTACAAAAACTTTCTCTAATTTTTGTACGAGAACAAAATCCTCTTGATTTCCAGATACCACATCTGCTTTTATATGTAGTTAAATCTTCACATTTATCAGTATCTCCGTTGTTATTATTGTTCCCTCCTTTTCCGTCACTTTCTTTCTTGTTGTTGTCTGGTTCAGTTCTACTTGAACCTTATAGAGAGAGATTAAGTTCAAAGTTCATTTAATAATCAGATCAATTAACTTTAGGGAAATAAAAAATAAACTAAATGGTGACAATTTTATTTTAAGAGAAAAGTGAGAGGTGAAAAATTGAGATTCCAAAATTGGTTGCTTAGAATCTTACTTTTCTCAGTATCTTTTTTCGGCTTGTTATCATCTTTCTTTTCCTCATTATCGATACTTTCGTCTTTCTTTTCCTCATTATCTGGCATTAGAATTCCGTCTGAAATAATCCAAAACGTTGATACAAGAAGATTTGTATGTGTAGAAAACAGATAGTTGCCTGATCAATTTTGAATGCCTCAAAAGTTATCCGACATATTATCCGTGCTCGTAGGTCATATTCACAAATATCTAAATATGGTTTAAGACAAACTTTCAAGTTTCAGATAATTAGAAATTCCTCCTTCGCAAAGTTATTTTCCACAATTTTCTGGATTTTAACTAACCAAACTAACCTTTGCATGTACCACACGTATTTTTACAAAAACTTTCTCTAATTTTTGTACGAGAACAAAATCCTCTTGATTTCCAGATACCACATCTGCTTTTATATGTAGTTAAATCTTCACATTTATCAGTATCTCCGTTGTTATTATTGTTCCCTCCTTTTCCGTCACTTTCTTTCTTGTTGTTGTCTGGTTCAGTTCTACTTGAATCTTATAGAGAGAGATTAAGTTCAAAGTTCATATAATAATCAGATCAATTAACTTTAGGGAAATAAAAAATAAACTAAATGGTGACAATTTTATTTTAAGAGAAAAGTGAGAGGTGAAAAATTGAGATTCCAAAATTGGTTGCTTAGAATCTTACTTTTCTCAGTATCTTTTTTCGGCTTGTTATCATCTTTCTTTTCCTCATTATCGATACTTTCGTCTTTCTTTTCCTCATTATCTGGCATTAGAATTCCGTCTGAAATAATCCAAAACGTTGATACAAGAAGATTTGTATGTGTAGAAAACAGATAGTTGCCTGATCAATTTTGAATGCCTCAAAAGTTATCCGACATATTATCCGTGCTCGTAGGTCACATTCACAAATATCTAAATATATGGTTTAAGACAAACTTTCAAGTTTCAGATTTAAATTAGAAATTCCTCCTTCGCAAAGTTATTTTCCGCAATTTTCTGGATTCATTTATGGGATTTATTGTTGATGCGCGGCGCTACATTGGTCAAATCATTCGTCAATTTTTACCATGCATCCCACTCATTTATAAAAAACACAGTATTTAATTATGTTGCACTTTTTTCCAGTAACACTTTTCACTCAAAAGAATTAATGGTACAAGTACATCGTAGGGAAAATTGATCGTGCGTGGTTTAACCGCAGCGAAATTCTTGTTACAACTTTAAACAAATACATTTGAAAAAACAGGACAGACCTTCACAGGAGTTGCATGTTTTCTTACAAAGCTTTCCTCTGACATTTGATCTATATCCACTATTTTTAGGATCGCACATTCCTTTTGCTTTCCATACAGCGCAAACGTCGTAGCGCACTCTATTTCCACATTTTCCAGAGCCCACACTTTGCAAACCGGTTATTCCTGAAATATGATGTAGGTAAAAGCGTTTCAGGACTTCTATATCAGGACGTGTATAATCTGTGATCCAGTCTTTTATTCTTGTAATGGATCACAGCAGTTACATGATATAAATTAAAACTTCTTACCACAAATTCCACATGATTTTGGGCACATAGTGTGTACATCTGTTTTGGCACATTTTGCTTTTAGGAAAGGGCAACGGTATATATCTGCATCCTGACAATCGTTATTCTTCATAGCTTTCCTTGCAACAAGTTTGGGAATTCTACCTGAAATATAGTCACCTTGATTATCGAACAGCAAAATAAATACCTAAATAAACTTCGTAATCTGATAAATTATAGGAAAGTGTGAACTCTGTTAGGTAATTCAGTACAGACCACAGACTCATATAGGGTAAGTAGCACGATATATTTTGGCAGTTTAACTTTGAGGAAAAAAGAAGATGATGACGTTATCAAACTTTCTCAACCTCACGTGGACACGTTCAAAAAAAGGTGGCACTAGAGATTGATTTTTTAAAATGCGTTTTAAAAATAGTCATTACTCTTTGTTGGTTGATATGTCTATCTATACCTTTAGAAATTCGATTAAATTTCATGATCCTGAAATCACGGAGTCTCTAGTGCTTATATCACAGGAGTTATCGTTATTTGTGTGCCAATGAGTCAAAAGTCACACAATTAGAAATGCAAGATGAATCAACACTAGATAATCTGAAAAGTAATATTCACAAAGAAGCCAAAATTGATATGGTGACTATAATGCATGTAAGGAATGGAATGTCTTATCTGAAATTGTTATTGGTGCCAAAATGAGTCAAAAATCACAACTTAAACGTTGGAAATGAGCCTATTTTGAGCAGTGATTATTGAATCATCTAACGTTTTTATTGGCTTTCTATCATTTTTTAGGGTACAAAATAGTATTCAATAGTATTAAAACCAATTAATATGATTCAAAAGTCACATTTTCGTTAAAGGTGCGCTATTAAGTCACACTATAGTTATCCTTAAATTAAGTGAACGATATGACAATTTATATCCATTCTATGATTATTATTATGTGATTTTTGAATCCATGTCTAAGCTTATACCATATTGAAGGCCTTTGAGCGATAATTTTTGATCTGGGTGCTTAAATGATTCAAAAATCACTTAAATCTAGCTACCAAATATGTAATTTTCTTTAAAGTGTGACAATTGAATCATATGTAATGTTCAAGTTGTAATGACATTTTGAAAGGTAAGGTAATGAATCGATAATCACATTTCAAAAATTCAATTAAGTATTATACGTTACTGATTGATTCATTTGTCACATTATGGAGACAAAATTATCATGGCTTGAGTAGTAAAAGTACTTGCCTAGTTTACTCAGTTTAAAATTAGTGTTTTGTGATTATTGATTCCACTATTACTCTAATAACGAACTTCTCCATGACCATAAACAAGTGTCACAACAAATTACTGCATATTTACTATGAATACAAACCTGATATAGAGCCAAAAAGTGATACATTCCCCTGATACAGCATAATTTCAATACATGCTCATTTATGTGATTTTTGACTCATTATGGCACTTTTAATCATCTAAATTCTCTAAATATTAGTTAGCATGATATAATTGTGATTGATAGAGTTCATTGCTACAATCATTCCGTTGATATTCATATCACATTCATCATTCTAAAATACTTAGTCAGAATTAACCCTATGTGTGATAATTGCATCATAACTCCACATTTAACCGGTGACTCTTTGCACTTTTAACACTCAACTATCTCAGAAAGGTTCAATAATCACATTGAGAAGCAGGACACACTCACAGAATGTAAATTCATCATTAGAGGTGCAAGAAATGAATATTTTGTGATTTCTGGCTCATATCTGCACAATTAACAGATTTAAAGAGATGAATGACTTAATTATGTGACATTTGACTCTTTTTGGACCACATATTAAAATTTGGTTAACTTTCATAGCATACTCCTTGAGATACAAGTATTTTAAAATGCTTCACACAATTTTGGCAGTGAAAAATCAATCTCTAGTGCCACCTTTTTATGAACGTGTCCACGTAACAAGTGGTCCACGTCACTCTCTCTGGACATTAATAAAGACTAAAACAACTCCACAGTAAGTTCACACCACTGGTACCTTAACATATCATTTTACACCGGTATCCATCAGGGATGCTACACCCAGACTTCAGAGGCAGGCAAAGCATCTTTATGTTATCCTCTCCTGGACCACCAGGTCCAGCCTCTCTTTAAAAATAAGAAAAAAAAGTGGTACCTTGATCAACCAAAACTAACAAGGTAATATCACTATTATGAGAAGATAATATGCTAACCGCAAGTTCCACAAGTTTTCGGACACAGTTTCTTAACCTCGTCAGTGGTACAGTACTTTTTCTGGACAGGACAGCGAAGATCGTCCAAGTTTTTACAATCATAATCATCATTATCTTCTGATACCGAGCTTGTTTCTGCAATAAGAAGGAAGTTAAATAAGTTTCTGCGACTCTAACAAAAGTGGCTAAAATAAAACCACCTACTCTTTAACGTGTAGCATATTTTAAGAATTAATGGAAAATTCATTTGCTTTACCGACTATCGTTTAAGATAGCAACAGCAGTTTATTCTACCATTCATCTCACTTTCACAACTGCCGCACGTTTTCTTGCAAAATATGTTTCGAATTTTTGTTCGACTCCCGCAAAATCCTTTAGACCTCCACATGGCACAGACTGCTCTAGCCACAGTATCCTGACACGACTGAGTTGGAGCACCTGATAGTCCCACTCCTTCTTCCTCTGAAATAGAGTGAAGTTAAACTTCCTACTCAAAAAAGGGGCATACAATTAATATATTTGGGCAACGAGCAGCTGTACGGATGGAAACAATCAGCATAATGAGATGAAAATAGTTTTTATGATAAAAAGATAGTTAAATGTGATTAGAATTGTTGAACCTTCAAAGATATGCTTATTTCTTTATATGTTAAATATGTTAAATATGTTAAATATGCTAACTGTGCTTTAATATGTGACGTACTAACTTTGTTTTGAGCATGATTGACACGTGTTGGCACACCAGTAGTCAGTATAACCATCCGAGTCACACTTCCTATCCCAAGTAACACAATCTGACCACCTATCTTTACAATTTATCTGATCGCCTGGATGTGAGGAGTTGTTTAGTTTCTATAAGTATTTATTGGGTGAGGCCTTCTTTAATTTGAAATAGTATTTATTGGGTGAAACTTGTTCGATTTCCATAAGTATTAACTGATTGATATTTGATGCTTACCATCCCAACACGGATACCCAAATTTCAAATTTCGATCTTGATAAATCTTTGTTAAATTGGGCCGAACAAGTTCAAGGAACTAAATTTAAAAGGAACATTTGAGTTAAAAGATCCGTCCCCTCCAAGCTTCACTTTCTTCTAGTTCTCCAGTTCTGTGCCCTCATCTAGAGTTTTAAAAAGGTAGATTGAGAAATAACAGTAACTTAACGTCAATACTTTGCTCAATATAAGTACAGTAAAACCCCAATTTACCGCGATCTGATTTACCGCACAACCCGATTTACTGCAGCCATTTCCTTCCCCCAGATTAGGGGTAAACATAATAGAAATGAAAACAATCAAAACCCCGATTTACCGAGCCTTTTACCTTTCCCCGAACTCCGCGGTAAATCAGGGTATTACTGTATAACTACTAGACTGTTGACCTTCCTACAAGACTTCTGTACGTCGCCCGCTGGTTCATACTTTAATCAGGCCTGGGACGGAGACCGGAGTTTGGACAATACAAATTTTCGTTTTGTTAAGTTTTCTGCTGTGGGCTTCCTCTGACCGAAATTAAACTTACAGCGCCTCAATCGTGTCATTTCCCACCTATAGTTGACTGACTAATTGGTTGCAGGCGAGAAATTCCTTCAAAACTGTAAAATTTCGATCCCTGAAATATCATCTTCGAAAACTGAAAATGGGACAGAAAATGGGACAATATGATTTTGCAATTTTCTTCGGGATTTTGACTAATACCTCAAGTCGGTTTCATACCATCATCAATTACCTTGGTTCAGGCTCGAGGAGGCTGTATGAATGTATTGAGACCTCGGCACAACTTTGGCCTCTTCGCCTGACATGGAGAAGTTTCAGGCTACTTTAATTAAAGTGTTTATAAATTTGATGTAAATCAACAGATCATCCTGCATGCTCATTTGGACATTTGTTCGACAAAGTTTGTACGTAATCAAGTCTGTAAACGGTTATCTTTATGACTTCGAAAAGCAAAGAAAAAAAAGTAAAAACAACAAGGTTACTTGCGACTGGAATAAATGTCTATAAAAATACTGACATAATTGTCAATAACTAACCTTCATTGAGGGTTAGTCCTTCACAAGAACCGCATGTCCTCTTACAGAATATTTCTTTAAGTTCTATATTCGTTTCACAATATCCTTCTGATTTCCATCTACCACACCTATCAGCACCTTCCTTATCATCACAAGACTCAGTATCCTTCTCTGATTTGTTATTATCTTTCTTTTCATCATTATCAACACTTTTCTCTTTCTTTTCATCATTATCAATACTTTCCTCTTTCTTTTCATCATTATCAATAATTTCCTCTTTATTTTCATCGTTATCAATACTTTCCTCTTTCTTTTTATCATTATCAATACTTTCTTCTTTCTTTTCATCATTATCAATCATTTCTTCTTTCTTTTCATCATTATCAATACTTTCTCCTTTCTTTTCATCAGTATCAATATTTTCCACTTTCTTTTCATCATTATCTGGCATAAAAATTCTGTCATTATCTGGCTCAAGAGCCATTACTGTTTTACAGTAACAGGACAACTATTACAAATTAGATAGTCATGGTAGTATATAAGTATATAAGTATATAAGTATATAAGTATATAAGTATATAAGTATATAAGTATATAAGTATATAAGTATATAAGTATATAAGTATATAAGTATATAAGTATATAAGTATATAAGTATATAAGTATATAAGTATATAAGTATATAAGTATATAAGTATATAAGTATATAAGTATATATAAGTATAATAAGTATATAAGTATATAAGTATATAAGTATCCAAGAACACTGTAATGGAACCAAACTAACAATAACTAACCTCCACATGCACCGCATGTCTTTTTACATAATATTTCTTTAACTTGTTTACGTGATTCACAATATCCCTGCGATTTCCATTCACCACAATCTTTACTGACAACTTCCCTATCTTTACAAGTATCAGTGTCTTTCTTCGACGTGTTATGATCTTTCTTTTTTTTATTTTCATCATTATCTGGCATAGGACTTCCGTCTGAAACAATCCAAAATGTTGATATAAGAAAAGTAATGGGTCCAGTGAATAGAACGATTGATGAATGTTTAGTTTGTTTAGTTTGTTTAAGTTCTCTCTGTTGAAATTTTCTTATTTGAAAATGGGACAGAGTCTGGAAAATACAAAATTTTGTTTTGTTACGTTTCCTGCTGTGGGCTTCTTCCGACCAAAATTAATCTTCCAGCACCTCAATCGTGTCATTTGTCACCTATAGTTGACTTACACAAGTGAGTAATACACAATTACTGACCCCCGACCAAGTTATGGTGCAGATATAACCATTAGGTTCAGTGATTCAGTAGTTGAGTGTGTACCAACACCTAGCACCCTGCCTAAACGTTCGGAACTACCGGACCTATCTGGCAAGCCTGCTACCTGAACTTGAACAACAAAAATCGTGAATACCACTGACTAATTCAAATATATATATTAGAATATTAATATACTACATATAGTTCAGTATATTATGTAGTGTTTTTCTAAAACATACCCTGACAGGTTCCACATGATTTCCTGCAGTGTTTGTTTCTGATAACTTCATCACTAACACAGTCCCCATGTGACTCAAATGCTAAACAAAGAGAAGTTTCCTTTTCATCTCGACACAGTGTCCCAGGCATACTATCTGCATCTTGACCTGAAGTGATGATAAATTAAAAATAATGTGAAAGTGTATAAACGACAAACGTGGTTACTCCCCATCTCTAAAAATGAGTATTAGTGACAGGACACAACCTACCCTTGCAGGTACCACAGGTCTTCCTGCAATACCTCGCCCTGATTATTTTCATTTTGCTCGTTTTCTCACAGTGTCCCTTTGTATTCATTCTGGAGCACCTACGGTTGCCCATCCTATCTCCACATACTCCACCAGACACACTCTGCCTCTCTGAAATATAATTACTAAATATTCTATACATAGAAAAGTTGAAATAAAAGTGGGATTTTTTCCCAAGAGACTAGGAACAACTAAAGTACTTGGAAAACTTGGAAAACGTGAAATCGACGACAATATGGTTGAATATTATTGTAACGGTTAATATATGAAATTAGATTTTTGAAACAGAGTAGATCGATGGCAAATTAAAAATAATTTACCCTTGTTAATTTTGCAGATATTGCAAGATTTAGGGCAGGATTTGCGAACTTTAGCTGATGAGCAATATGAGGACATGGAAAGACAATACGTCTTATCTGCATCTCTACAACTTGGGTCTTGTGAGTCTCTGCTGCTCCTTTGAGGCCTCACTGCGCTCTTTAAACCATCTTCTGGGAGCCGGGAGGGTATGATAAAGTAAGTTATTGTCATTTATTTCAAAACGGTCAAAATTCTGTGGAATTGCAACCGTCAGCGATCAGAAACGTTGTACTAACGATTACCATGGAATTCTTAAAAATACCTGAATCAGATGCACATATTTTGCAAGTAACCGGGCAATTTCTCTGTATCCCTTCTGCCCTGCAGAATTTTTCCATGCCCCTACAAAATTCGGGGTCTGTATCCGTGCACTCTTTTTTGTTAAACCCATCCCTCTCTTGCGGCCTTTCCTTAGCTGTTGGGGTAAGGAATTCAAAGAACGAATAATAAGTGATCAATAAGCTGGTTCTGAAAAGATCAAGACCGGTTTGAGTTATACAACGATTAAGTTCCTCTGAATTTGTATCTGAGACACTAGAATTAACTTACCTGTGCAGAATTGGCATGTTTTCCTGCAGTTCATTCTCATTGGTCGGTATGTGGCACACACACTATTCAGTCTATCACACTCTGAACTTCCTATCAAATCGTCACATTCCTCTTCAAAATCAGCTGGGTCCTCATCTGAACGAATAGGTTCAACGGAGGGAGCGGGAGGCCGAGGGAGTGAAACTTAATTTGATACACGAGGTAAGATGTACGGTTTGTGGTAAAATCGCACTTACAAATACAATAGTTATAGTATGTATAACTATAATAATGACTTGGGTATTAACATCTTGTCATATAATTATATAAAGATTTAGTTGGGTACTGAGTAGGCAAACTTAGCAAAAAGAAAAGACTAATCAGCAAAAGGTCACCTTTGCAGAATCCACAAGTTCTGCGACAAAAGAACTTCATACTCTTTTTAGTATCGCATTTCCCGATCTGAGATAAACATGTGGCGGTCTCGTATCTATCCTTACACGAGGCGTCTACAGGGACTGGCTCCACGACTCCAGTAGAAAGAGTACCTGCAAAGAATCTGCAATTTTTCGAATTATTCGCAAATCCCTTGAAAAGCGTTAATATACTTCAAATATATTAGCTTATTCCACTTGATGTATGTAATAAAGTTATGAAGGTCTAAGTGGCAAATGTCAATCTTTCAACAACAACAAAAACAGAGCAAAAAGGAAAGAGATTGCATCTGCATCCATGATGCTGTATATCATAATATGAATTTTCGTTTTATCATTTGGTCACGCTGGGTTAACAAAAAAGGTTTGACAATTGACTGAGGTCTTCCGACGATCATTTTTAATTAGATGGTGTCACAGGCACTGGCTATGTAAAATTTAAAATTTCACCGCTTTGAAGATTTGCCAGCAAGAGCTGTAGCCTGAAGAGTAAAGAGTTCCTAGGAACCCAAGCGCTGCAGCTAACAGTACTTAATTTCGTCAACGCCTGTGCATTTTCAACTTTCTAAGAATTATAACAATACGTCATGATGAAGGCCACAAGACGTTAAGTTTAACATGATCCAGATGGAACTACCCTGTAATTGGATCCCAGATATCCCAACAGGCCCTTCGTTTACAAACGAAATGATAAACGTGCGGTGTCGAAGAAGTAAATTATATTACGTTATTTACAATATGTCTTAACTTTCAAATAAAACCCCACAATTATAACTTAGATCTAATCAAAATATCAAAAACACATTTTTTTTGGTTTGGCCGGATTATCTATCTTATATGTACATCCGCCCAAGGCCAAGGCCAAGGGTCTCAGGTTTCATACAATCCTTGCCTGAACTTACTGTTCTATATATAAAGGCAAAATGTCGGATCTCTTATTATTTTACGCAATCGGAAAAAACAGGCTTAAAGATTATCGGCCCAACTTACAACAATAAATGCATTATCAGCTGTTCAGTTAATATTATTATTAAGTAGAAAGGCTTTCGGAATAAAAATTCATTCTGGATTCTCCAAGTCAACTTCAACCGATGTTGCTAGTGATTCATATATTGATTCAGCACCAGTGCTGTTTAAAGAATTTGTAGCTGTTGCCGATAGAGCGATAGAACACTTGATGAACTACTTGATGGAACACTAGATGTCGTGTTTGTAGGTGAAGAATCATATATTCTCGATAATCCTACTCTATCCAGTTCACTATTGATATCAGAGTAAATCTGCAAAGATTTTCTTCTCGACAAATGATCTGTCGAAAACCTCTCTTCCAGAGGACCAAACAGTTTTTTGCACTGAGACTCGATAGAGTAAACGTCCAAAAACTTCACTTGGTCCAACTCCCTCCACTCATCAACTAACGCTGTAGAGTTTCTGTACACATTCAGGGGATCATCATTGCGAGAGTTGTTGTAACCGTCAGAAAGTCCTAGACTAATGTTAGTCATGTGCTCCTTTACTTGATCAGTCAATGTTTCGTTAACGAATGAGTAAATCATTTCTGCCGTTTTCAGCGGGCGGAGGGACATTGATGAGTGAGTTACCGTCTTTAATCTCTCCTTGAACCAGGCATCACCCTCAGCTAGCTCTAACGTTTTCAGGTGATCGGAGCAGTATTTAAAACTCTCAAAAGCAATCCTAATTTTTCTTTGAGTTTTATCACCTCTGATAGGATCTTGAAAAGCTTTAATGCTATTCCAATAGAAGAAATGCCTAAATTTCCTCCGCGATGAGGTAAGAGCGACGGGGTGTCTCAACAGCTGTATTACTCTGACATCAGCTGATTTAATCTTGGTGATTTTCAAGATATCTGATACTTCTTCAAGTCTGATAACCTTGATAGCTGTAGTATTACGGTATTTACATATTTCATGATAGGATACCCTCCCCGCTACCCGCGTTTTGTTACAAGCGGAACTGTTAAAACGGTGCCAATTTTCCACCTCAGTTCCACACTTCCCGTAAATTGCCCTATACGGTGAAGCAAACGCAGTGCAGTTATGAAGCAGTTGTTGAAGGTACAGCATTCGTAGATCTGACTCATGATGACGTGGGTGCTCTCCGATCAGCAACTTTCTATTACGGAGGGAACTGATGTACTTATCGTGGAAGGGTTCGAATAAATAATGAATAGCTGGGTTACCATCGAACAAATTGCCAAGAAATGAGGAACCACTTCTGAAGCCGGTTACCATGATGATAATCTTTTTGTGCGGACTCGGATCAAGGTTAAAAGCGTGGTCCTCTGTTCGATCAATTGATCTCAAGATGGAGAACTGTTTGTGGTTGTTATGAGTTTCATAACGGAGTTCTGGGATTAAAATTGGAGAGGTGTTCCCGCTAAAGAATATAAATCCAAAGAAGATGATTGATGCGCAGCAGAAAACGCAAAGAGCTCCGATTAATGTCCTCTCGGTAACGATGCCCATTGTGCCTCCGAGTCCAGTTACAACGAAAACCAACGAACAGAAGAAATGTAAAAGCAACAAAATGTTTACTGTGTGCTGTAATATAAACATCTTCAAATGTTATTGCAGTTAGGTGTAAAGAGTGGTCTTATTGTAATCTAGATACAATGCAAAGCAAGGTTACACTAACTGATGAGGTCCACCCTTTTGTTTGATTTTTATAAATGATCTAGCTAATGTGAGTAACTTAGCTAAATTTGTATCATTTGCGGACAACTAACATCTTTTTTTCAAGACAGAGATCGTAACTTACTATACAATAACGCTAATAAATTATTATCTAAAATTTGTTGTTCAAATAAGCTAATCATTAATTTTGAAAAAGCTGTTTTACGGAATTTGGAAAGAGTTAACCAGCTGAGAATGGAAGATTTATTGGATTACTGAACAATCAGTAAATCAGTTCGAACAAGTAGACAGGTGTAAATATTTAGGAGTGACAATGAATTATAACTTTAACTGGAATGACCATATTCTCACTTATCTTCCCATGGCCATGGTAACTTGATCTAGATTGGGTGAGAAAAGGCGCAACTGTGTGGCAGCCGTCTATTTAATTTGGACCACTTATTATACAAATAGTATACGAATGGTATACAATTCAGCAAAAATTGAGGCATAAAACACATTGACACCGTTACATTCATATTTTAATTTTTTGTGATTCCGACAAAGAATAAGAATTCAAGTTTGCTAAAATTCAGATGGGTTGGGATCAACCTTAGCCCGGGGTAGTTCTAACCTTGACAATTGCGGCAAGTTTTAGGACACATGACATTTCGGACTTTGCTTTGACTCTCACAGTATCCAATCTTCTTGAAGTATTCGCATTTGCCCGATTGTAGTCTTTTGTCCTCACAATTATCTAGAAAAGAAATTAATTTGAGATAGTATATGAAGAAAATGTTCATGACATCATGCGGAGCTGATTTAAAATCAAGATCTAAAAAAGTTTTTAAATAGCATTAAGATTTAGGGAGGAGGAATCAAATTGAATCATAAACATTAAAATAAAACTAGCTAGTAATTAAACTCACCCTCACCACACACGGCACATGTCTTCCGGCAGTGTGTGTACCGAATAGAATCTCTAACACAATAACCCAGATCCCTCCAGATCCTGCAGTTATACTCCCCTTTATCATCCTCACAAGTCAGATCTTCCTTCAGCTCTGGTACACACATCTTACAGGTTACTCTACACAGTGTCCTCTTTATGTTCGCGTACTCGCACATGTTAACGGCCGCGTAGAACTCACATTCTTGACTGCCATATTGGTTCTCGCAGGCTGGTTCTGAGCTACTGGAACTTGAGGCTAGAGAGACACCTGACTCTGAGGAAAACTTTAGCTAAATTCAAAACTAAATTGCAAACTAAATAACCATACCGATAAAAAATTTTTAAATAAAGATTATTAAATTGTAGCAATCGAACAACCTTTCTCACAAAATCCACAAGTTTTCCTGCAGTAACGTTCCATGTAAAAGTCAGAATTACAGCGGCCACTCTTCCTAGTACAAGTTGCCTCTCCGATCTTGTCACTGCAGCCTTCCAGAGCCTCCTCGGGGGGATCTGACTCTGAGAGGAGGTTTAAATTATTAAGATTATTGTCGAGGCGGAGCTAATCTTAATGGTTTGTTGGGTGAATAAAGGGAGAAAAACAATTTTTTCTTTAATTTAAATTTTATTGAAGCAAACGATAGAACTCTCGATATCATGTAAAGGGTGATAAAAGACTCGTGTCCAAATTTTAAATGGCTCTCAAAATCTTACAAATGAGTCAAATAGTTCGATTTTTGTTTTAAATTGTATAGATAAATTATTACATTTTAAGATACATATCATAAATAAGCCTACTATTTCAAAAAATTTTGACGATGTCTACTTTATTCTCGTTTGATATGGCAAATTTTGACATTTTTCAAAGAACATTTTAAAAGATTGCAAAATTGTGATAAAATGAGTTTTGAAACGATTTTGCAAGAGATAACTTAAATGTAAGACCTAACAAGCATCTAATTTGCTCCTTCATAAAATAAAAATTATAATTATTTCAAATTTGGGCTCGTGTCTTGGAACACCCTGTATTAAATTGATTAATGTGAACGATGAAACACTTATGGAATATCTTTAATAGCTTGCAATTCGTAGTGACCTTGTTTACAACAGAATACAGATAGTTTAGATATGAGAATGGAGTGGGCGACATCTGTCTCACAGCGACATCTGTCCGACTCAGAAAATAGGTTATTTGGACAATAGTTTATGTCGGATCCAACGATACGATTTTCTTGAAACTTTCTAGATAGTAAGATAGCTTTAAGACAAATAATTTGTGCAAGTTTGGATAAATTTCTATGTGCCAAATTTGAGATATCACTTCAAACACACGAAAATAGTGCTGTCGGACAGATGTCGATGTCGGAAAGATGTCGTGTTACCATGAGAATGTCACCACTACAGTACTACACTGACCATGCCAAGCACTCTGTTTATTCATGAGTACTCGATTAGCTATCCAAAATCTAGTACTAACCGTTACAAAGTCCGCAAGTTTTACGACAATAGAGTTGCAAATCATCATCATCTTCACAGGCTTCAATCCTGGAGATGCAGTGCGCTGTGCTGTACAAGTCGATACAGGTGTCAATAATGATGGTTGAATTATCGGCATCCCTAAAGCTGGAGGACAATGATCCTGCGGAGTGGATATTAAGTCTAACAGGTCCAAGTTTAATTATTTACTGCAAATGTTAGTTGTATTAGGCATTAGCGACAAGAGAAACGCCATTGTCGGACGTAAGGACTCCTCAACTCAAACTACATTAAATATATTCCTTCTGTACCGTCCTGAATAAATATATAGTTCTAGACATTATAAAACATTACTGAACACCAACAAATATTATTTATGCAAAGATAAAACGAGAAATAATTCAAAATATCACAAAAGAACAAATAATAAAAAATCAAAAAAATATATAAACATAATATAACATAATGGCAAAATAACAAAATAACAAAATAGCAACAAAACATACGATATTTGAAGAATGACTCAAAATCGTAAAATATAAAATTTACTCCTTCATCAAAGCGAATTTTGGAAAATTATAATTTTACAATTAAGGGCAATTAAATAAAACTGTTAGTTGTTAGAACCTCCCAAAACTTATAAGTACACGGGTGTTTAGCCTCTATGAACTTTTTAGCAAATTTATGTAACACATCGGGATTAAAATTCTGATAAAATAATTTACTTTTCAGAGATTTCACATTTCTAATAAATCCTTCTAAAATCGTATTTGCATTACAAAGTCTAAATAATTGTGAACAAAATACTTCGTATAATCTTCTATCAGGGACGTTGGATTTCAAATTAGGCATGCTATTAACTAGGTCTAGTTGAGTTCCTTTCTAGTCGGCAGCGATAAACATTAACTAAGAAATAGATCCCTACATATATATAATATATTACATGTACTAGCAGCTATTATAAATAATACGTACCATCGCAGTTTTCACATGTCACAGGACAGTAATCAGTAGCTATTTTACTATCAAACTTGCAGTAGCCGATACTTTTTAAATAATTGCATCTTTCTCCATCAAAGCTGTCTTTGCAACCGTCGGCTTCGCTACCTGGAAAAACAGATACTACAACTATACAAAAACCACGAAATTCCTTTTCAAAGTTGTAGGTTGTAGCTCAAGACTCGGCTTTTCTTCCGTCAAACATTACAGTAGCAATCATTACTGACCAACAACAGTAAAACTCTGATTTACCGTACAGTTTAGGGGAAAATAAATATTACAGTAAATCGGGGTACCGTTGGATCACATGGTTTCTCTCCGCACAGAAATTTTCCTTGATCAGGGACCCATTTATAATCCGTATTTCAAAGGATAGCGTGATATCAAACTAAGAATGCGGATATTCTTCCAAAGTTTGGGGAAAGGGGAGAGATATAACATTGTAAATCAGGGTACGTTAAATTGAACAACCATTTGTTGGTTGTTCGCGCTTAGTCGTCAACCACTGAACAACATCTTACCTTCAGATGAAGCGCTTAATTCAAGTTCTTTATCACATGTTCTTCTGCAGTACTTTTCCATGTATATAATGTACTTTTCGGACTTGCAGAAACCTTGAGATAAGCCAAATTGACAGGCACCATCGTCTAGTACGTCATCACGTCTCGTTTCTTCTTTACTGTTCGAACCTGAGTGAGACACCATGTGAGTGCGGAGTAAGAAGGGGATAACTCCTGTTCTCTGCGACCCCTATTTTTTGTGGGTCAGTGACTTGATGTACCTGGGGTACCTCAAGGAACGATAACGCTGATGATATGATGGGAGCGGTCAGTGATGTAAAATAATCTGATAAGTGATAATAATGACGAAAGAGGTTCTATAATTAGTTAGGGAATAATGCAAAATGTCTGGGAAAAAATTTGCGACAAGCTGATTTTTACAGGAATGTGTTGTCCATAGTGTCAGGAACCACCCCAAAGAGTTTTCAATCTGGATCTGTTGAGCAAAAAAAGTTACAGCCAATTTTCTTCAGGCGCGTATGTCAGCCTGAGGACCGCACTTGAAAAACTCGTAACTATCGTAATAAAGACCCCCAGGAACACCACAGCTCAGGGGGTGCAAAATGACCGCAATAGTGACATTATGTGGGGCGAATCAGTGTATTAGGGTCGTTAGATCTTTACTTATTGAGATAATTTCATTTTTATAGGCTAACCTCTCAAAAATTTACTAAAATTTTGAAATTTTACTTAAATTTGGAAATTTAGCAAAATTTTGTACAATTAAAACATTGTCTAGTTATCAGTATTCAAATTCTAAAATTTACTTTCAATTGTCAATTGATCCTCATATTAGTATAGTAAATAATATACATATCACATCAAATTCTGTAAAAAAAGGTCCTGAATTATTAGCATGGTGTCTTTGATTGGCAACTATCAGGTCACTTCTGGCTATCCCATTTCCTCAGAGTTGTTTGATTCTCCTGAATCGTCCTGTCTTTCGGGTGCATTGGTGCAACTTAATCCATGATATTGGCCACATGCAGGTAGACATTTAAAGCCATACTTCCGGCAGGAACACTTTAAGTACTTACAAGGGTTCTCAACCTCCACCGAGCAATTGCAGCAAATGAGGTTGAGCATCCCTGCCGGGGCAATCGCAGCTTTAGTCGGGATTGGCCGGTAGTATCCTTCAGAACTCATCTCCCATCCATAATGTAGTGGATTTAGACTTGCAGTGGCAGACTCCGGACTGGAAGACCTTATGAGATTAGTCTACCCTGGGGATGTAACTCACATAATGGACGGTGGATCCTATTACAAAGCACTGAGGGCCCAGTTTTTATGTTTGATTGAAAAATTGTGCTCTCTGCTGCTATTTATTTGAGGACAAAATAGCAGAGGAGGATCTTGAAGATATGGATAGCTATATTGCCAAGTGTAGCAATGAAAAACTCTGTGTAAACCACAAGACCAGAGTCGTACAAGAGTTATCAGAGCGTATAAAAAAGAAGTTCGAGATGTTATCGTCGAACAGCTGCTCTTTGGACAACTTATCATGGTTTCATTTGCATAATAAAAGATTTTATATAAAAAGATAAGAGCAGAACGGTTACATGACTTCGATCTACATCTTGCAATTGTGGCTAAGATGTTGCCTATCTTTGCAGCAGCAGGTCGAGGTCAGTACTCCAAAGCTCTACGGCTGTATCTTGAGCAGATTACCGTACTTGAGATTCAGTATGGGGCACTAGCCAAAACGTTCAAGGTCGTAGGTCTGCACACAGTTATATATACTGAACACGAGTGGTCTGGTGTGTGGACAGACCTGTCGATCGAACAGCGACTAATGAAGGCTGCAAAGTCATCAGGGGGTTTGTCTGGAGGGAGAATGCGAACTCATGAATCTGCCCATAAGTTATGGACTGCAACCCTCAATCAAATGGCGTTGATAAACGAGAGTGTCGATGAAGCTATTGCAGACTTATCCAATAAAAGAACAACAACAACAGCCTCTAGTGCTAATCACTCAGATCTTAGCAAATCTTCTGTACAGAAAAATATTGCAGTGTTTACCAAGCTGTTGTGTTGGTTTAAAGATACAGCTGATTTCGACGAATCTGAAGACAAGACTTAAATGCTATCGTACTCAACGGGTCTCATATCACAGAAAGAGAAGGATAATGTCAACCCAGAAGATTGCATTTCAGTTGGTACTGCCCTCGAGAAAGAGCTGGATGGCAAAAGCTTTAACATACGGCGACATAGCTAATGAATACCTTAAGCTAGTTCCGAAATCCGAACAGCGGAAAGTGATTGTTGTGTTTGATGGCTATGCCCGATCAACAAAAGATCATGAGCATCAGCGAAGAATCAAGTCATACTGCTCTGATATAGCTATTAAAAGTACTACTGTGTGCACAGGTCCGATGAAAAAACTGTTCAGCAACTCAAAGAACAAGCATGAGCTTATAAAGCTTCTGTCGAACGTTTTTACAGAACATGGAATTGAAGTACATGTAGCTACTGATGATGCTGATACCATGGTAGCTAATAAAGCTTTAAACTTGTCCTTCTACGAAGATGTTGAGGTAAAAGCAGAGGATAATGATATACTTTGCCTCCTTATTGAGAGAATCACAATGAAATTGTGATGACGACCAGAAACGGCTCACACTCGATCAGTAAAATAGTAAATGCTCCTGATGCCAACATAAAACGCATATTACTGTTTGTTCACAGTTTCTCAGGAAGTCAGGATGTGACACGGTCAGCAGTATACATGGCTTTGTGAAGATATTGAAAAAGGCAGTTTCTTTTCGTGAGGAGGGTCATTTAGCATCATTACTCTCTGTGAGAGTTTCAACAAATGAAGTAATTGAAGCTAGCCTCTCCTTGTTTCAACATATCTAAGGAGATAAAACCAAGGCACTTGAAACTCTCAGATTTCTCAGCTACAGTAGAATGATAGCAAAGAAAAAACTCAACCCATCAATGCTACCACCGTCTACATCCTCTGCAACTGAGCATATATTAAGATCATATCTTCAGTACCATAACTGGGTGACACTCGACACTGCAAGTCTAAATCCACTACATTATGGATGGGAGATGAGTTCTGAAGGATACTACCGACCAATCCCGACTAAAGCTGCGATTGCCCCGGCAGGGATGCTCAACCTCATTTGCTGCAATTGCTCGGTGAAGGTTGAGAACCCTTGTTAGTACTTAAGGTGTTCCTGCCGGAAGTATGGCTTTAAATGTCTACCTGCATGTGGCCAATGTCATGGATTAAGTTGCACTAATGCACCCGAAAGACAGGACGATTCAGGAGAATCAAACAACTCTGAGGAAATGGGATAGCCAGAAGTGACCTAATAGTTGCCAATCAAAGACACCATGCTAATAATTCAGGACCTTTTTTTACAGAATTTGATGTGATATGTATATTATTTACTATACTAATATAAGGATCAATTGACAATTGAAAGTAAATTTTAGAATTTGAATACTGATAACTAGACAATGTTTTAATTGTACAACAATTTTTGCTAAATTTCCAAATTTAAGTAAAATTTCAAAATTTTAGTAAATTTTTGAGAGGTTAGCCTATAAAAATGAAATTATCTCAATAAGTAAAGATCTGACGACCCTAAAACACTGATTCGCCCCACATAATGTCACTATTGCGGTCATTTTGCACCCCCTGTGGTGCTCCTGGGGGTCTTTATTACGATAGTTACGAGTTTTTCAAGTGCGGTCCTCAGGCTGACATACACGCCTGAAGAAAATTGGCTGTAACTTTTTTTGCTCAGCAGATCCAGATTGGAAACTCTTTGGGGTGGTTCCTGACACTATGGACAACACATTCCTGTAAAAATCAGCTTGTCGCAAATTTTTTCCCAGATGGTCCTGTATTAATGTTAATTGTCCCTAACTAAATAACTATATCCATATACCAGAGGAAATAAAAAGCTCTTGTTGGATATATCAGTATATCTGAGCGAAGCGCATGCGCGCGCAATTGATAATACGCGCTTTTATGTTAAGGTGAGTGTGACAAGATGTGCTTTCAATAATTTTAAAACCATTTTAGCGGCGAACCAGAAGATGAATCAGAGATTTTGGAACAGCTTGACTCAAACTGAGTTTGAGACAACTTTTGATAGATGTTTTTTGGCTGTATTTGTCCATAAACTAAGTTGAATTTCCTATGATATGATACAGGGGCATGTGTGCTGACATTTACAGCCACCTATGAAATATTAACCTGATTCATTGAATGAACAAAATGAATAAATAATGAACATTGTCTCGCAATGCCCTGCACTGTATTGAAAACGATCGGAATCGATTGGTATTGGCATGCTCAGAAATGGCTTTGTGGCAATGTTTCATTTTGGTTTCAAAGTAGTTGACATTCTGAGGGCGAGGGACTGCCAGTGGAGCATAAATTCTCCGCATTCACACGGCATCTTGTTCTTTTCATTATGTTGATTCCAATTATAATTATAGACCTGGGCCTGTCAAGGATTATGAGCTAATCAATTGCAGCTACTTGTGCCATATAAGGGTTAACTGAGGTCACATGACCGTCGATGCTATCACGTGTCTGCTGATCCTATCACGTGACCTTGATTCGTAAATCTTCGGACACGTGAGCTCATTCGTAACGTGTCGTATGTTTACAAAGATATCTTATGTCGTCACCTAGAGCTCATGCTACGAGATCGGGCCTTATATGGAATAATATTGTTTCTGGATTTAACTACTCTGAATCTATGTAAACTGGGTCTATTTCAAACGAAATAAACAAAAAATTATCCTAGAATCCGCTCGGCTTGAAATGTGCTGAAAACAGTTGGAATCGTAGGTCTTGATACTACAACCTCAATTTAGGTTTCCCTTTTCAGAGCATCTGAGGTTTTGAAAAAAAAAACACTTGTGAAACATGCTTTTTTGGATTTAATAATACTAGCTCACAACGTTAATTAATGATATGATGGCATTAGACGTAGCCTGAAAACTTCACCGGTCGAGCAAAGAATTTTATTGCAATCTTACGAGAGTGAATATGAGATACAGGAAACGAGGATGCAATTAGCTGGCCAGGTTCCTCAGCACCTATAATGGGAACCATAATATAACTAGGAGTTAAGGTAGACTAACCTGGCGCATTCCCTCCGCGAAAAAGTGACACAAGTCCCCATCCAGGTACTGGAACCAGTATATCCGGTCTATCCGGAGGAAACTTTGATGTAATGATAATTTTGGATATGGCCTACCAGTAGGACACTTTCAAATTTCAGCTTTCCGCAACCCAAATTTCACTGTTTTGACTGAATTTTTCTTGAATGACCGACCATCTAACAAGGGCACTGGGGATGGCACAAGACACGATTGTGGCCGTGGTACTAAAAGTTCTTTTCCCAAATAAAGCTTTAATGAACAGAAAATCATCAAAATATAAAAGGAGATTTTTGAACATTTTTGAAGAGAGGCTTTTCTGCAGTCTCCTTGACCGATATTCGGCGGTTTTGACTGAATTTTTAACCGGTGACCAATCAGTGAGGTCGGTTACATAGTACATACGTGCTCACTTCTATGCAGTGGCGTAACGTTGCCTGTTGGCGCCCCCTCCCCTTTTGGCGCCCCTCCCTAAAATTTGACAAATAAGGTGATTTTAGAGGATATGCCGCTAAAATCTCTAAAAAAGTGTGTTTCTAGAGCAAAACGCGCAGTTTTGCTAGTACCTTAGTTAAGTTTTTCAAAATTGTCCCACATTCGAACGACGATATGGCACCCCCCTAAGATGCCCCCCCCCCCCCCCAAGAAGGGGGGCCACTGCTCCCATATATTCCTCATGGGATGTGTCCCTCAGTTATCTTTACACTAAACCTCACATTTACACTAAACTTATTATCTATCGATCCAGTTTAGTGTAAAACTGTACAACTTTGCTTAAGTTATTAGTTCCAATCTCACTCTATATTTTATCTAGTTATTATACATAGTTATTAGTTATTACCTCACTTTTCACGCGGTTCATCCTTACCATGACAATCAACAATGAACTTGCTTACTTTTGTGCTAGTTGTTATATTCTTTTACTCTTTTTTCTGGTAAATTTAATAATATTCGAATGGGGTAGATCATTATTAATTGGATTCCCATCCATCAGTATTTCATATATTATTAGAACTACACTGCACAATTTCGGGACAGAAGTTAGTTGTCAAGAGTGCAAGTACCATTTTTGTACTATTGATCTAAATTTTGTCCTGTTCGTAAGCACATGACATGCCATCAGCCATGTTGTGAACAACCAACTTGAAATTTTGGGAAAGCACTTCAATTATCAAACCAAATATGTCTAGAAACTTTGAAGTTCCTTGCTGAAAGCGTTTTCACTTTCTGGTGACAATAGGGAAAAAGAGGGATTGGCGTGCCACACCCACTGTAATTAATTAATTTTGACGAAACTTTCAGGAAATCTAAGTTTGACCCATATAATCTATAATTTCTGAAATTTCTGTGCAATTCTAGGAAGAATTACCTGAGTTATTAAAGGGTTGCGTGCGGGCAGTTACTTCTGGGCCACCCTGTAGTATATCTTATATTGCACATAGAAATAATTATACATACACGACACACGTATTAGATACTACTGATATAACAAAAAACAAACATAAGTATGTATGCAGGCCCATTTCTGAAACAAAAGAAAACATCATTATAAATAGCAATGGATGAGATGACTATCAGTAACATAACACATCATTTCCTTTCTTGATACACGTTTCTACTGAGTTGCAACACTATCAGTAACATAACACATTTCCTTTCTTGATACACCTTTCTACTGAGTTGCAACACTATCAGTAACATAACACATTTCCTTTCTTGATACACCTTTCTACTGAGTACTATCAGTAACATAACACATTTACAAGGAAATACTTTCGAGAAAACCATAGTATATAGCTGACTTTGGCAGGGTAGTGTTGGTTATGTGCCTAACCTGGTGAACACAGTGGAATGTGGATATCCTTGCTGTACGGCTAGTTAAACAAGGAATTGAAACTGTGGGGCTCCGTGCAGACCAACCTACCTGTGGCTAAATAAAAGCTCTTATATACAGAAACAATACATTCCTTTCTTGATACACGTTTCTACTGAGTTGCAACACTATCAGTAACATAACACACTTCCTTTCTTGATACACGTTTCTACTGAGTTGCAACACCCACTCACTGTATCGCAGAAAATGGGAGATTCTACTGAAACAGAGAAGACCCTCCTGGACCACAGCCACAAGAAGAACAGCTGGACTACACGAGACTGCTTAGTTCTCACCCTTACCATTCTGGTAAAGTTGGGGGACTCAGTTGAGATCTACCTGCCGGGTATTATTACTCAAGACGTGTCCTGTCAGATGGGCGTGTCCTCCCTACAGGAGGGGTTTCTTGCTGTTATTTTATATGTGACTATGGGAGCGACTATTCTAGTAACTGCTTTTCTTACAGATAGGTACAAGCAAATTGTCTCTTACTTGGTACTTGATATTTTTCAGTATGTTCTTTTTACTTTAGTTCCGTCAATAGGACTTTTTGCACGGGGCTTTCTTTTACGAGCTTCAACTAAATTTGATATTAATGTTTATTTTTTTAGCTGATAAACAATATGTTCTTGTACAGGTTTGGACGGAGACCCATCCTCCTCTTCTCCCTCTACGTCTCAATACTAGTAACCGTGTTATGTGCCGTGGTTCCTAACTACTACACCCTCCTCCTCTCTAGAGCTCTCCTCGGCTTCTGTATAGGTCTCAACTCCTCTACAGTCAACGTGTTCTTCTCAGAACAGGTCTCCTCGCATGAAGTTTACAGAAGAGGAACTTTAGTCTCGGACATTGCATTCGCTCTCGGTGGGGGTTGGGTAGCAATTCTTGGTTTCTTCCTGCTGGAGTCTTCAGGTTGGAGAGTGTTTGTAGTATGCACTTCACTTCCGTTCTTCATACCCCCAATAATCATACTACATCTCTATCTTACAGAGGACGTTTCAACGGGAGGGGATGAGGAACAAATAAATGAGGTAGGTATCAAAGTACCGGGCCAGACAATTAGAGTGTGTAAAGCTAGCGCTATGAAGCTGATCAACACATTACAAGGGTACGGTACTATCATGTTGCTGCCTAATCTGATAAGGGCTGATAACAAGCTTACAAGCTCTACTACAGATTACTGTGATTATGTAGTTCACGGCATTCAGCTTCTTCTCCTAGCAGCGGTTTCCGGGGGTACTAACATCATTGGTAGATCTGCTGGGTACCTTCTTCAAAGGAAGGTGAGGTTTAGAACCTTGCAGCCTGTTTTGGCAACGAGCCTGGCTATCTGCTACATGGTTCTTATCTTTAAGAGTGATCTTATCACTTCTGTAGTGGCTCTGGGGACTGCAAAGCTTATCTACGCTATGATGGTCATTGAAATCAACTTACTCACATTCGATCGGGCGTTTCTTGGTTCAGAAAACTTTGCGGTCAACAGCGGAAAAGTCTTTACAAGTGGTATGGTAGGTGCAATTATTGGAAATACGCTCGCCGCATTCTTTAAACCAGAGGTAGCGGTGATTGCAGCGGGGGTTCTTAGTTGGGTTCAAGTCGCTGTTGTGAGTAGTGTCACTGAATTAGACTTACTTGTATAACATTATATAACATCTAGATTGTAGCTATTTAATTACTTACTTGTATAACATTATATAACATCTAGATTGTAGCTATTTAATTATGTCTTAATAAGTTTCTTTTATGGAAAGATTAGAAAACCGGTTTTTATTCATTCTATGTAAAACATTTATTGTAAAAATAATGATTAAGTATTATTTTCACTGTTAAAATCAAAACTGGGTTTCATTCGTTTTAATGAAACAGGAGTTTTATGGCCGCCCAAAGTCTCAATAATAGTTAAATCTCCAGATATATGCCTTGGTACTATACTGCAACTACCGATTTGGAGATATTTTTGGTGTTTAAGGTGATATCTCAAAGTTGGCACATAGAAATTCGCCCAAACTTTCACAGATTATACGTCCTATAACCATCATACTAAAATTTCAAGAAAGTCGTTTGGTAGGATCCGACATAAACTATTGTCCGAAAAACCTAACTTCGGAGTCAGAGTTCAGACAGGATCAGGAGTCGCCCAATCGCCACACCACCTTTGCTACTGTATCCGCTCTACCATACTCACTGACTCATGCAGAACTCGGGTTTAGTATGTAGATGTACGCATATAATTCACCAGGCGAAATTTCAGAATTAAGCTTAACAAAAAGTAACTCCTGTCTGGCAGGTGGAGTCAGTAGCCTGTGGAGTCAGTAGGTGGAGTCAGTAGGTGGAGTCAGTAGGTGGAGAGTTTGGTTTTACTCCGGACAAGGAGTGCCATTACTTAAAACTAATTGCTTTTCTGAAAGTCTGAATATATCGTGTTTCACAATTTGCTGCCCTTACGCTAACAAACGTTTACATTAGTTACACGAGCGTAATAATACATAGCTCAATAATATAAATTATAGTGTCGTTCAATTGCTCTCAAAACAGTGCTTTTAGTTTATAATCTCACTATAATACGATTACACCAGTTATAACACTCGGCTGCGCCTCGTGAAATAAATGCAATAATCGAACTCGGCTTCGCCTCGTGCGATTAACAATGTAATCGCATTATACGGAGTTAGATTAGCGTATATAATATAAACCGCGAAGCCGTCACTTTTATTGCCACGTATGCAAATTCGTTGAACTAATATTAGGTGCGAAGACCAACACCAATATACGCCATGTCGCCATACAGCCACCATATTAACAGCTTAGTGGGGTTGTTATAAGAAGAGTACTACAATACACATTACACGGCCACAATAAAGACCGTGTGATGGCCACCGGCTGTGCACCGCTCATATATAGCAAAGTAGCCCTACATAATCGCCCTATTTCTTATTTAATTGTGATGACAAAACTTAGAAATAATACATGTTAAAAAAAGTTAGATTATAAAGTAGCAAACCTTGTTGGTCGTAGCATCGTAAAATTCCCGAACACCAATTCGGATCTTCAGATTGGCTCCTCAGCTTGAATCTGTGTTTGAACAGAACACATTTGTGAGTCTTCTTACACAATGAAAATGCTTCGCAATATTTCGTTCTCTCGCAGAGATTCTTACAATCGTAGTAGGACGATGAATCGGACACTACCTTCATAATTCCTCCCCATATCCTTCTAGAATCGTTCATACACGTATCTTCGTCGATATTTTCATCTTCAACACTTTTCTCTCTACTTTCGTCATCTCCAAAATAGCATAAACGTTCAGAAGAAATGTAGGACCTCGTCTTTCTACTGTCTTCCATTTTCACAGAAAACGCTGAGAAATCATAGAGCCAGCAACGCTTCATAAGGGTACACACAGTAAAAGCTTCACAATCCGTTTTCCGTTTGCATTTTCCGGCACATTGCTCAACTGTTCCTGCACTCACTGTATCGATATTCCCCTTGGCATACTTTTTACCTCTGATTAGACAAGAACCGTCTTTCTCGCTTTCAAAACATGACATTAATGCTGACTGTACCTTATTTTTCATAGTTTTGCGACTTATTTCAAATTCAAGGTGATCCTCATCATACTTGAGGCAGCGGCCTTCCTCCTCAACAAAAGTGAAAGAAGCGCAATAATTACTCTTTTTACACGCTGCTATGCATTGACTAATCGTTTTAGACCTTGAAACCTCAACGGGCGAAGTTCCTTTAATGTGAAAACCAAAGTTGATACACCCATCTTCATCGTTTCTATTATTGTCGTTTCTTTCCTCAAAACATGACATCAACCCTGAAACTACCTCAAATGAATTGAGTGAAGCCGACGAACACACTTTCCCAACAGAACTATAAGTTAAACATTGAGAATAATCGATGACAAATGTGAAAGCAACACAGGTGGACATTTTGGAGCATAATGACTTGCAATCGTTGGCATCTTTGGCAGGACCAGTATTAGATTCTCCCGATTCAAACGCTTGTCTGTGTATAAAACAACTGCTATCTTGCTCAGTTTTCTCGTTTTCATCTTCACCCATTTCATTTGGTGATTTATAGTTATAACCTTTATCATGTGATTCTTTTTCATCTCCCTTTTCTGAAATTATGTTGGTTAAACTGTTAAATTTGTAAATTTAGACTGGAATTTAAGTGACTCCGCCACCATGACCAGTAACGATTGCTTAGTTTAGTGATAACATAAAAAGTTAAATTTATTGCAGTAAAAAATGTTAAGAACTACCTTCTCCACAGTTAAGAAACACACTTTTGTTACTGGAACACTTTATTCCCTTCGCACTCCAAGTGCAATCATCATCTGAACAGTTAATATCGTTTATTGTGACTTTTAGCTCATCTTGCAAAGTAAATTTGTATGCATCTAACCAACCCATTACTACGGTGATTCCCATCTTTTTGCATATGAAATCAGCAGCAATATCAGAGAAGCCTGGCGAGCACACCATGCCACCCTTGTACAGCAGTAAACCATACTGTCCAGCAGGTACGGGATCACCATTAGGGTCAACTACACTGAAAACACCAAGCTTTGGACTGGACTGCAAACCTGAACGTACATCATTTATAAATTATTTGATACTTCAGAAAAAAAGAACATTATAAATTTATATAACGTGAAAAACTTTACATAATTTGTAGTTGATCATAAATTTTCTTTTTACTTGAACAAAATAAGATCAAATTATCATTTAATTTAACATACTCGAAAGATATCATAACACTACCTAAAAGAAAGTTACTATACAGTTGTCAGCTAAAATAGAGACCTGAGACTGCCAATGCAATGGGCTACCTCATAATAACTTAGCACCATAATGATCTTAGAAAATTTGAAGTTCAGTAATTTTTTGCTCAGGTCTCTATTTGAATGTCGTATGTATAAGTTACCTCCAACAGCAAAATTTGGTACATAGTCGACTGGTGAAAAGCCACTTATCATATCATCTGCAGCTGATGACAGGTGGACTGAAGATAACATCCCTAAAGCAATCGAGCCTCCAACTGCTACTGACTCATTAGCTGGTATCATCTCTGAGAAAGCAACCAGTGTATCTCCCGATAAAGGAGGAAGAGTTAAATTTTGTGAGTTCGTCATTTGGAAGAAAATCATAACCATCAAAATACTTTCTGATGTTGAAATTTGCATGATGTCCAGTCAGAGTTTCATCACATGCTTCCTGTATGTGAGTTCTTTAAAATGTAGAAGAGATAATTTGTTTATATAATTTACTAATTAATTAGTTACAACTCTAAATATTTTGTTTATAGGTAAATTTGTATCTTTAAATCATCAAATAGGTGCAGCCACGGGTATAGTTAATATCATAAAATCAATATCACTGGCTTTATGGTTTTAAACTAAAACTCATCACTTAAATTTAATCTATGTGATTGCAGTTATTGTCACTGAAGCGGAAAAATATCGTATTATTGAATCTGACACTTAACTCAGTCACTGTACGATCTCTTTCAAGTAATCAACACAATAGACATGCGATTCCCATCTGAGAACATAGCTTGACAGGTTTAGTTAACGATAATGCATCTTAGAAGATCCACCTGCTCATACCTAAAATCGCTGTGATCTGACGTAGGCTATCCACTCCGATAATCGTAACCGATAATTATCTCCGATAATTCGTTAAAAAAAGTTATCTGTTTATCTAGATAAAACATATTTTTATCAGTATAAAAATTCACTAGATATTACCGAAAATACTGCCACAATACCGTAAAATTGTAAAGAAATATTAGTGTTTTTGCCTTCCCAAGTAATCCAAGAAACAGTCCCAAACGTCTTCTAGTATGATAGAAGAGGTAGTTTACTTAGATGTGAGCTTAAGAGGTTTATTTACATTTGTATACCTATGGAACTGTAGAACTGTATGAACTGTAGAAATCTAGAGAAGGTTATTGACATTGTTCTCTTGAGGGTGCTGGCGTTTTACCTTACAACCATTCTGGAGACGGGAACGATCAGGAGAAGGAATATGTTGCTCCAAGTTATCAACTGGACAAGAAAACGGTTCACTGAATCACTTTAAATGCTTTACTGTTTCGAGGAGAATTGGTATTTGGTGCACTACTGTTCTCAGGAGAAGGAAACCCTTGGTCTACTGTTTTGAAGAGAACTGGTGCACTACTGTTCTCAGGAGAAGAAAACCGGTGGTCTACTGTTTTGAAGAGAACTATTGCGTTCCTGTTCTCAGGAGAAGAAAACCGGTGGTCTACTGTTTTGAAGAGAACTAGTGCGTTACTGTTCAGTGTTCTCAGGAGAAGAAAACCGGTGGGGTCTACTGTTTTGAAGAAAACTAGTGCGTTACTGTTCTCAGGAGAAGGAAACCGTTGGTCTACTGTTTTGAAGAGAACTGGTACACTACTGTTCTTAGGAGAAGAAAACCGTTGGTCTACTGTTTTGAAGAAAACTGGTGCACTTCTGCTCCCCGGAGATTTAATAATAACAATTGCAGTTAGAAGTCGTACACTTGCTCTAACCAGAGCCCTCTCGCTTGCAGTAGCGCGACCGCCGAAGGCGGCAAAGAAGTATATACTACTGGTAAAACAAGCGCGTCACGCAGTACGCGTATACACACGGCTATGTGAAGTCGTAGACTTAGATGCTGCCTAAGCTTAAGCTATGCAAAATGAGGGCAAATTTACCACTTAAATATTCTTTCAAATAGATTATACACTGCTTTGTTATTATATTTCAATGAAACAAGAAATTGTTTCAGACATAGTTTGTAGATCCAAATACGATGTAATGCTGACTTTCATTATTTTGATAGTAAAACAAAATTTATTAAAACAAACATTAAATTTTATTGCCATTACAATGAATAATGCACAGGGGGGTCTGAAACCAGGTTTTCGATCAAATGCTGCCATTTGTAGTCAAACGTTGCCAACAGTTGCTCTCGTCCAATGGCAGCGTTTGATCGAAAACCTGGTTTCAGCTCCCACTGTGAATGATAAAGTAAAATACAATTTTTATTTTCCACAGAAGAATCAATACATATTGAATTATAAGTATCCGATAATTCCATTAATAATCATTAAAAGTTGCTTTCTCATTTGTAAAATCAAAAACGAAAACAGAAAAGCCATACGCTGAACGCGCGCGGCATCTTTTCTGCAGCTGCCTAACTTGTATAACAAGGCGCGCTAGCATTTTTACCGCCATTCTAGGTTTCACTGATTTCACAATACACGATACACAATATGTCCAATTTGATTCTAATTAAGTAAAACAAAATTTAAGTATATATATATGGGTAAACTAGACCTACATAAGCCAGGGGAACGGCCCATAGCAGGGTAACCAGGATGGCCCGGTACCCAAAAACCTGATTAACTAGCAAAGATAAAAAAATAACAATAGGTAATAAATAGATACCAATACTATACCGATATAAGATGCATAGTTCAGAAAGATCAAACCGGGATGTTCCTTCTGTTAGTCTTTTGTAAGAGTCCATGGCTGTCGTAATCTTGTCTTTATTACTTTTCTTCTCCGTGTTGTATTAGTCTTGCTGTAACGAGGAGTTAAAGAAATGTCTAGTATGGTATACTATGGTCCTGGGAGGTATCATGTTAAAGATATAGAGGGCTGGGGAGGTCACTGAATCATGTGATTGAGAAATAAAAGGAAACTGTGTAAGTAACGTGGTTGTCCCTTCCACAATCAAGAAAGAAGAGGGGAGGGAGAGAGAGAGACACGCATTGGGTCAAGCTAGAAGTGCCGACTGTCCTGTGGACTGATGAGCCCTTAGAACTGGCTGGCTAGCAGGACCTGTTGCAAGTCTGGGAACAATCTGGGGAGGGGAGGGTGATTGTGGTAGAGGGACAATTACGATTACTAAGGCTAATATAAAAGAGACTAAGGAGGTTCTTAGTAATCTAGATACTTGGTAGCTCTAGCGATCCCCACAGTGTTACTGGTAGAGAAGGTGTGATGGAAGGTATCCTCTCTGATGGTATAGTTACCAACGTAGTATTTCCTGTGTAAGGAGAATGCTGGACAGCTTGTGAGATAGTGTGCTGTAGTTTCATTGTCTTCATCACACTTTTTGCATGCTGTTGGGTTCGTTGCCAGTCTTGTTTTGGAAATATCCAGGGGTGTAGGAATGATTTTCTTCATGGGGGGGCCAAATTCTAAATATTTGTTGGCGCTTCGCGCCACAGCCTAAATTGTTTGGCGCTTCGCGCCAAAGCTTGAATTTCGAGGGTAAGGACAAAAGGAAATTGCAGCATGTGCGGTATCGCGATTTTTCACGTTTGCCGCGACAAGTCGCAATTTTTCAGATCCTGGCCTCACGACAAATCGCGATTTTTGCAGTTCTCCGCGTCAAATTGTGCATTTTTCTTTAAATCTGAGGACTAAATTCGCGTATTTTCCTTCAAATCTGTGGGCCAAATATCACGTTTTCTATAATTAATATATGAAACCAATCAGTATTACATCCACAACCTTTCGAATGTAGGTGCGGACTTCGGAAACCGAAAAAAATATTTTCGGCTCAGAATGATCAGGGTAGCATGAAACATGAACAAAAGTAATTTCCAGAAAAACTTTGCAAAATTTTGACTTAGAAAATTTTCGGTCCGAGTCATTCTCGATACGTACCTCTGAAAACAGAGCTCCCGCTTCCGAGCTCGTATTGCGAAGGGGAGGCCTGCCATCCGAGATCGCATCACAAAGAGGAACCCTCGAGTCCAAAATCGTATATCGAAGTTCGAAAACCGAAAAAAATATTTTTGACTCATAATGATCAGGGTAGCATGAAACATGAACAAAAGTAGTTTTCAAGAAAACTTTGAAAATTTTTGACTTTTAAAAATTTTCGGGGAAATTAAAAAGTTGGCCCTTTTTGGCCCCTTGCCCAGATTTCATGGGGGGCGATGGCCCCCCCTGCCCCCCCGCTTCCTACACCCCTGGAAATATCTGAGATGACTGCATCCTGTGAATAGATGTGTAAGAATTCTACTCTTGTCTCTATTTTGTCGTCTAACGTCAAGGTGTCTGTCAAAGAAACTAATAATGTTGGATTGGTGGAAAACAGTGAGGATCTGAAGAGTAATATATGATAAAAGTGAGGTCGGAAAAAGTAACTGTCTAGAATATTAGAAAGAGAGGAGTGAGTTTAAGGAGCCAAAGGAGGAGGTCCAATGGGACGGAGAGTGTCCTTCTAACTGCGTTGAGGGCTCCTAGAGTGTCTATGATGAGGTGGGATTGGGTGATGGTGCCCGATAAGGCATGAAGAACTGCTTAGTTGTCGATGCAGATGTGGAGCTCAGTAGCTGCGTAGTTGATCTTGGGGAGGTGAATGCAGAGGTGGAGTAAAGCCAGCAACTCTGCCTGGAAGATGATTGTGGTGTTTGGTGGTAATGTTCTGAAATAGTCGATGAGTTAGGATAGAGGACGAACCCCGCTCCTGCAAGATTGTTCTTCACCGAGCTGTCAGTGTACCCAACTAGTGTGTCAGATTTATGGAGGAGTGGGATCTGAACTAGGGCTTCCGAGCGTTCGAGTATATAATCCGTTTTGAATGATTGTGACAGGTTGGGTGAGGCTGGTGTTCCATGTCTAAAAGTGATGTATATCTAAAGGGAAAAGAAGTGGACGTATCTTCTTGAGATGGTCGGAGAGAAGGATAGAGTGAGATGTGAGCTTTCCGTCTCTAAGTCCGTTTGAGGCGGACGAAGTGATGTTAAGCCTGAGGAAAGTTATGAGAGAAATGGAGTGAATCCTGAGGTCAAGAGGGGGGAGTTGGGTGAGAAGTAACAGGTCGGTGAGGGGGAGATGGTTCCTGTGATCAGAAGTAGAGCTGTTCTTTGTACTGATCCATGTGAGAGGGCTGGGATAATGATTTGAATAAAATATTTTTGTGCCTGTCTCGAATTGTAGATTAAGTTTATGTCGTGCGGGTTAGTGTCTAGTGATTCTAGGAAGTCTACCTCCGCTATAGCAATCTCTGTATGGGTATGGAATGCGTCTTCTCTAGTCAGTATTCTACAGTCTGTCCTAGTAGCTAGGAGAGTCAGGTCGGGGTCTGCGGTGGAAACACCTGAGCTGGGCGCCCCGTTAGGGACAGCCTTAGGTGTCCCTGGCTCCTCTAATAAGTCGGCGATTCCACTAGTGGATGCCAACTCACCAGAGGGCCTGGAACTGGTCTGTAA